ACTGTTACTACTACTACTACTACTACTACTACTAATAATACTACTACTAATACTACTTACTACTTACTACTACTACTACTACTACCACTACTACTACTACTACTACTACTACTACGACTACTACTACTACTACTACTACTACTACTACTACTACTACTACTACTATTACGACTACTACTACTACTACTACTACTACTACTACTACTACTACGATTCCTACCTCTACTACGACTGAACCCTCGACCACTACCACGACTACTACGACTGCTACCACTACTACTACGGCTGCAACTCATACGACTACTACCACCACCACCAGCATCACCACTACTACGACTACCACTACCACTACTACTACTACTACTACTACTACTACTACTACTACTACTACGGCGACTACTACTACTACTACTACTACTACTACTACTACTACTACTACTACTACTACTACTACTACTACTACTACTACTACTACTACTACGACTAATACTACCACTACCACGACTACGATCACTACCACAACTACTACGGCGACTACTTCTTCTCTTACTACTACTACGAGTACGACATCGACTACTACCACTACTTGTAACAGTCCTTGTTCTACCACGAACACCACCACCACCACTACTACTACTACTGCTACTACTACCACTACTTCTACCACCACCAGTACTCCCACGACGATTACGACTATCCCTTATCACGACTACTACTACGATCACGACGAGTACTACCACTACTACTACTTCGACGACCACTATTACTACCACGACTACAAATACGACTACTACTACTAAGAACGTGACTACGACTGCAGCCACGACTAAGACTATGACCACTACGACTACCACAAGTACTACTACTACTACTACTACTACTACTACTACTACTACGACTACTGCGACTACTACTACTACTACTACTATTACTACTACTACTACTACTACTACTACTACTACTACTACTACTACTACTACTACTACTACTACTACTACTACTACTACTACTTCTACTACTACTACTACTACTACTACTACTACTACTACTACTACTACTACTACGGTTACTACGACGATCACTACTGCGAATACTTCGACGGCTACTACTACCACTGCTCCGACGACTCCTCCTACGACTACTACTCCTACTACAACTACTACTACTACTACTACTACTACGGCGACGACTACTACTACTACTACTACTACTGCTACTACCACTACTACTACTACTACTACTACTACTACGACGACTACTACTACTACTACTACTACTATTACTACTACTACTACTACTACTACTACTACTACTACTACTACTACTACTACGACGACGACGACTACGAGTGCTACGACTACTACTGATACGAACATCACTGCTACAACAACTACGACTTCGACTAAAACTGGAACTACGACTACTACGACTACTACTACTACTACCACTACTACTATTACCACTACTACTACTACAACTACCACTACTACTACGACTACGACTACGACGACTACTACTACTACTACTACTGCTACTACTACTACTACTAATAATAATAATATTACTACCACTACTACTACTAATACTACTACTACTACTACTGCTACTACTACTACGACTACTACTACGAGTACTACTACTACTACTACTACTACTACTACTACTACTACGACTACTGCTGCTACTACTACTACTACTACGACGACGACTACTACTACTACTACTACTACTACTACTACTACTACTACTACGAGTCCTACTACGAGTCCTACTACTACTACTACTACTACTACTACTACTACTACTACTACTAGTACTACTACTACTACTACTACTACTACTACTACTACTACTACTACTACTACTACTACTACTACTAATACTACTACTATACTACTACTACTACTACTACTACTACTACTGCTACTGCTACTACTACTACTACTACTACTACTACTACTACTACTACTACTACTACTACTACTACTACTACTACGACTACGACTACGACGACGACTACTAGCACGAGTATTCTTACTACCCCTACTACTGCCACTGCCACCACGTCTGTCATCTACATTAGTACGACTACTGTAAAAGTGCTCTCGACACGCATCCAGATAGGATTTTGTGTGGCCACCTTGTCTGGGCGGACAAACAAACCACTAGTGCAAGAGTTCACCAGGAGGTTTTCAGCTAACACAACAAGCCTTCACATATTGAATTTACTTGACGGGCCCGCGCGGGCCAAAGTAACACGCATCTAGCCGCGCGCTGGGCCACACAACCACGCAACGTGCCACGAGGACACCCAACGGACCACACAAACACGTGGTCGCGGAGGAAAGGGAGCGGGAGGGGGGAGGAGGACAGGTCCGAGGGGAGGGGAGGGATAGGGGAAGAGGGCGCATGGAGGGAGGGAAGGGAGACAAAAAAGGCGGGAAGAGAGGGGGAGAGAGGAAGGAGGATCAGGAGGAGGGCCAGGAAGGGGGACTGGAACAACCCCGAGATGTAGCAACGGTACTGCACCCTGGCGTCCTCAATCCCCTCCTCATTCGGCCCAAGCGAATGTGCTCGCACCACGTCTTACATCCCGTCCTTCCCGCCAATCCCTCGCCGTTGTGCCGATCCCTGCGTGGTGTCAAATCAGGCCTTGATCCCTGCATGGCATTTGCAGCGCGAGCGGAGGGAGGGGGGAGGAGGAGGAGACGAAGAGAGCGCAGCAGTTCGAACATGTGCCTGTCCCTGCCGAGCTGGGCATGACTGCCGCTCTGGCCAGCCTCGCCCAACGGGAAGCGCCGTGATGAAGACAGGGGGGGGGGAAGACAACCTCCCCCCTGGCGCGGTGTGTCGGGGACACCGACTGGAGAGAGAGAGAGAGAGAGGAAAAAGAAGGGCCCGTGGCGATCAGGACGCGACACGCCCCGTCTGCACGCCCGAGCAAAAGCGCCAGCTTCAAGCACGATCTGGCATGCGCGCCCCGGTACCTCGGCGAGCCGTGGCGCCGCCTGGGGGCGTCTCCCGCCGCGGCCCAGCGCGAAGGCCGCGGAACACCAGCCCAATTGTTCCCACAGCACGCCCGACGAAAAGGGAGGCTGGCACTGGAGTGCTAAGCGGTGGGCCTCAAGGTACGCTCAGGGGGGCCCCTGAGGGTAGCCCCGAAAGATGCGGTCGGACGGAAGGCCAGTTGCAGGTAACTCCAAGCGGCCTGAGCTCGATGGAGTCTGTCCAGCAGAGGGTTATCCTGTTCCTGGATGGTGTGCAAGGTTTGTGGCCCGCTGTTGCAGCGCGGTGATGCTAGCGATGAGAACCGCTTCCCGTTCCCGATCTGGTTGTTACCTTGCAGCCACGAGGTGTTGGATAAGGACTTGCCTACGATCCGTTCGCTGCATAGGTGTACCACTGGAGCCTACACCGTCTTGGGTTGCAGACGGGTCGCTGTTCCCCGTATCCTGGTCGGAGGGGGATACGACCTGGTGGCCGGGAATGAGTGTCTGCAGAGGCGAGGCTCTGGTGGACATCCGCCCCATCCCCGAGTATCTTGGCTGTCAGGAGAAGAAGGGGAGATGGGAGGGGGGGAGAAGGATGGGGACTGCGGGTGATGGGGAGGGGAGGACGAGGAGCTGGAGGAGGGGGAAGCGAGGACGCAGGAGAGGATGGGACAGAAGAGGGGGAAGACGCCCAGAACACCCGCAGGCGCGGACAACCCCCACAGAGCCCCCCCCGCACAAGTCGCGTCTCGGCGGCGCGCCCACGGGGGAGAAGCCGGAGAGGCGGGCCTCCTCGGGAGGCTCAGAAGGCTCCCAGCCTTCCCCGGGCGCTCCTCTCCTTGCCAGGCCCTGCGCGAGCCGAGATACCGGAGGAGGGGGGACGGGTGTCCGGACCGCAAAGCTCCCTGGGGGAGGGGCTCGATGTCTACACCGCGCCACATTGGTCAGCCAAGGAGCTTGGAGTAAAGATGCGAGGCGGGGCGCTGTCCATTTCAGCCGCCTGGGGCGCCGACCGGCCTGGGACCCCTGTGGGCTGCGGACGCGGACATGTTTTGGCCCTCTTGGCTCCGAATCTATCCAGATCCACATCCTGCCGAGGTCTCCGAAGAGCGATCCGCCAGACGGTAGTGTATGGACAAAATCCCCACCTCGGAACAGACGCACCAGCTGCCCAACCTGTGGGGCGCTTAAGCGTCTATGCGCTGAGCTCCTTCGCCGGACCCCTTGGCTCCCAGGCCGACCAAGCGACGTGGCCCTTCCCCTCCGAGCTCCCAGGTGCGGCCAGGGGCGGCGGCATCGGAACGGATCGGGACGCATCGGCAAAGAGTCGAAATCGAGTCGGGTCAGCCGCACCATGGTGCACGACAACGTCCATGCGAACACCGGCCCACATCGAATCGTCGGAGCGTCGGAATCAAATCGGATCGGGCCCGCCCGAATCGATACCAAGACATGCGATGCCTTGATTGTTTCAACACGCGGTCCCGAGACCCTTCCCCGCCCCTCTCCCCAGGGACGGCTTTCCATCCCAGATCGTAATTATCTTCACGGTCCAGGGGCCCGACGGAAGACCCCAGAGGCCCAGAACGTCCCAAGACCTCCCGTCAGCGCTTGTTTCGCGACGCAAAGTTCGATATCAAGTCGCATCGACATCGAGTCGGATCGAGATCGGGTCGGACATCGAGTCGGAGATCGAGTCGGATCGATGTCGAGTCGTCGACGCGAGGTTCGATGCCGAGTCGGATCGATCGGATCGAAAGTGAAGGGCAACGATAGGGGAGAACTGGCATAGGGGGGGATGCAACCTGGAATCGGCGGTACAACGCCAATACATCGGCGACAGGCCCCCGATAGCGAGTCCGGACCTTCCTGGGCAGGTTGGGGCTACCGGGCCCCTGTCGGCGATCAGTGAGCGATTGGGGGTCGATGCATCGCCCCCCAGGCCCATCCCCCCCCCCACCGTTGCCCTGGCGCAAGGAGCACTGGCGAACGGCGGACGGGGCCCCGGCCCCCGCGCATATCTGCCGCGAGACCTCCCGCGCCACCACGCCCTCGGTCTCCTGGCGGGGCCGGGGCGGCGGGCCTCGGTGCTGCCCCCGGGGCTCTCTGGGGCGACCTCCCTCTCGGGGGGGGGGGGGAGGAGGGGGGCAGGAGGAGATGTGTGTTCGTTGGGGGGGAGAACTCATGTATGTTTTCTCTCGACTTAGTGTATGATTCGCGATAACGTTGTGGATGCTATGACACTGGACACCACACCCTAACAGTCCGATCATGGAATTAAAAACGCGTTCTGCATGCTTTTTACATGCTGAAGACATGTTGAAAACATGTTTGGACACCTGGAAAATAACTATTCGACAACATGCTTCCTCTCCATTGAACGTCGTCCACAACGATAACGCCCATCAGACCCCCCCCCCTTCTGCACCCCTGGTCACGTCACGAGCCGCGCTGGCTGGCGCTGGGAACGAACCACTCTCAGGCATTCCCAAACGGCGCCGGCGCGAAGCGTGCCGTGACCAGTCCCCCCCCGTCCACCCACTCCCCTCCCCAGGCCCCCTGGCCCGACTGCAGCAGCGGCGCGGACATCGTCGCCGTCGTCGCCGTCGTCGCCGTCGTCGCGAGACGTCGGGCGGGGGTCCTTCCCGTGGGCCTCCTCCGCCAGGCGCTGCAAGATGCGCTCATGGTTGGCCCGGGAGGTCACGGAGTCCTCCCGACTTGGCCGTAACTGGGGAAGCTGTGTGCCTCACCCCTTGAGGGAACCCAGCAAGTCGACGATCTCTCGCGAGGGGTACCGAGATCGATGGGCCCCCCCCGAAGAGGACCACAGCTCCTTCGGAGGGGGTATAGGACAGGGGGGAGCGGGCTCCGGGGAGGAAGCCCGGAAGTGGCCTCGGAGATGCATCGCCCGCAGATCGGCGATAGGCCCCCGATGGCGAGCGCGCACGTTCCTAGGAGGAGCGGGCTGTCGGGCACCCATCGTCGACCTGAAATCGCTCGTGCACTGCCAGCAGAGCGGCGACATAGCCAATCCGCACCTTTCCTGGGAGGAGCGGGTCGCGGGGCCCCTGTATCGGTGACTTGGAATCGGCGGTGCATCGCCGACTGCTCGGCGACAGGCCCCCGATAGCGAATCCGCACGTTCCTGGCAGGAGGAGCGGGGTATCGGGCCCCTGTCGGCGACCTGGGGTCGGCGATTTGGACGCCCGAAGTGGGTACGGAAAAAATGGGTACAATGCCCAACAACAAATGCTGTCCCAAACCAACAGCGGCCGCTGTTAGGCAGGCGGCTCTCTGCCTCGAATGGACACAGGCCGCGGCGGCGCGGACAGTGAGTCCTGATCAAAATGAGCAGGGACTGCTGCTGGGCCCTGTGCCCCAGCCTTTCCGTACCCATTCCGCTCATGCCGATACATCGCCGATGTATCGGCAGTGGGCCCGGGCAGCGAGTTTCGACACGTTCCTGGGCGGGGCGGGCTCTATCGGGCCCCGATCGGCGAGGAGTGCGATGTGGAGGGGGGTCGATGCGTACACCCCAAGAGAGCCTGTCCCCCCCCCCCTTGTGTTAGGGCGGGCCTGTCCCCCTACAGGCGGAGCTTGGACGAAAAATTGAAACATACGCAAGATATGCCAAAAAAACAGAATTAGTAGAAACATCGTCCCCAGACTATGTTTTACTATTATTGAACCGTCCTCCTGTAGAGGGACAGGCCCGACTTGACCCTAGCGTTGCCCCTCAGGGGGTTAAAGAACCACGGCTCCCCAGGCCGGCCAGTCTGTCCTGGGACAGCCGCTGCTCGATCTCCGCCTCCCTCTTGCGGAGGAGCTGCCTCGCTTCAGGAGGGAGGGGCGGGAGTCGATCGGGGGGGATTGGGTACAGTATTCGGCCTGACCTAAGGAAGGATAAATAAGGAACGACGCCCTTTTTTTCCAAGTAATTCTAGGAATTCCGAAGGAACACCAGCCGCAAAAAAGGTAGCGGAATGCATTCAAACCAAAGGAACGACCGAGCCCTTTTTGAAAAGCAAGTGTTCCTCATTCAAGCTGGACCCTGCACCGTCGGACCCAGGCCAGAAGAACATGCCTGAAGAATACGAGACCCTCCGTCGGCCCAAGGGCACAGAACGTCCGAGGGGGCGCCCTCCCCTGGGACGCACGAGAGCGTCCAGACAAGCACGAGGTGCCCAGGAGGGCCCTCAAGCCCTCCTGCCTCGGTCCGACGGCGTGTCTCTTGCTGGCCGGGCTCGTCCTCAGTGGGCCTCCCGGGGGGAGGCTTCCCCTCGCCGCGGCCGGGGCTTCCCCTCGGGACTCCCCCCTGGCTGGAGCGCCCGGCCCCTGGGGGGAGGCCCAGGGTCTGACGCCTGGCCCACGGGCCCGGCGCAGCACAAAGATCAGGGCAGCAGAAGAAATGGTTGCGCATCTTGTTCTCACCGCTGGTCGCCGCACGTGCAGTCTAGCCCACGCGTTTTCTTGACGCAAGGCTTCAGTCAGTCAGTCGGGGGCCCTTACTGAGCTCTGGGGGGCGTCCAGAAACAACGTGGAACGGAGACATCACGACGTCGGGGGTTTGTTGGGACCGCCCCGTGAGCCGCAGGTGATGGGGGGAGATCCGAGGCCACCCGAAGGCCCAAACGTTCCCCCCAGGGCCAGCTTTCACACCGAGTCGATTTCTTGCTGGTCCAGGGGCCTGGCGAGGGCCCCCAGCGGCCACAAACGGTGAAACACCTCCGCTCAGATGTTTCAATCCGTTGGAGGTCTCGGGGCGAGACAATGCTTGGGGGACCGCGGTCGCTCTCCCAGGATGCCTCGAGCGCCCGTGGCAGCCGCGGCCAGTCGTCGTGAGGACGACGACGACAAAGCAAGCACAGCTTGCTCAAACGTAATCTTCCGGAGGCCCGCGCCAGTGGCGGGCGCCGGACCGGAGACGCCGCTAGGAGGCCCAGCGCCGAATCAAGAAATCCGTGCAGACCTCCGGCGGTTTATGCTTGTGTGTCTTCCCCTTTCGAGACGAAGATGCGACAACATCACCACCGCGTGGGGGACGATGTTCGGGGACCTCGGCAGGCGGTGGACATGGATATATTTGGTACCCCTGAAGGCCCGAATCCGGATGTATACCCTGAGAGCCGACATTGCGAAGAAGTGCAACGCCGCGGAACATCACAACTGGAGCACTAGACCGAGTGCTTGTGCAGCATTTGCCGAGCCAGATCGGCCCGTGATGGCCCCGGAGAACGGAACCGGGCGAGAACGCTGGGAATGCAGAAATCGCAATGCCCGGATCTCAGGGTCCCCGAGGATCGAATCACCAGGCGGTGGGTATGGAGTAGATCCCCCCCTCGGACCGTCGTCCGAGGGGCAACGTTGGGGGCTCGGGCCTCTACCGAGGGCGCGCAAACATGGATTAGCGATCCATGGATTTGGCGCGCGGTCGCCAAATCCATGGATTGTGGGAGGTGCCCTCCCAAAAATGCGGCCGGTGCCCCCTCGTTCGGCAGCGGAAATCCGCGACTTCCTGTGGAAACGGGACCCGTCGCTAATCCACGCCTCCTTGATCCGTGTTTGCGCTCGCCTGACTCTATCGGCGATGTGTCGGGCCACACATCAGGCCTCCCGCAGCCCTTCGGGACGATCTGGGCACCCCCTGGAGGGCCCTCGGCACCCCGAGAGTATGGAAGGCCGCCGAGGGCCGGCGAGGACGCCCGAGAACCTGGGGCCCGAAGCTCGAACCTCGCTTGCCCTGTCTGCCCCCCCTGACGCTGCCTCTGAGCCTCGGACTGGCGTCGCCATCGTCTTCATCGTCGCCGAGGAGGAGGAGGAGGAGGAGGAGGAGGAGGAGGAGGAGGAGGAGGAGGAGGAGGAGGAGGACGGGGAGAAGGAGGGGCAGAAGAAGCAGGAGGAGGGGCAGGAGGGAGGGGAGGAGGTGGAGGAGGAGGCGGCGGCGGAGGGGGAGAAGGACGTGCATGAGGAGGGCGGGGAAGGAGGAGGAGGAGTAGGAGGAGGACCAGTGCAAAACCAAGACGCATCAACGATGTTAGAAGACACCCTGCCTCCAAGCTCCTCCTTCACAGGCACCTACAGGGATTCATGCCCACTGAAGGTAGTCACCGTTGGGACAATCGTGTGAAAATCCTGCACCGTACCAGAACACCCGTCTCAAGACTTCAACGCCACTAGTCAACCTGACTGTTGCGTATTGACGATCATGAATCGCGCCAGAACGCAAGCCCTGGGACTCGTACATTGCGACTCACAGTAGCTGTTGCGCCTTGGCAATCCTAAATCGTTCCAACACTTTTTGTTGGTACGTTGACCTTGAAAAGGAATCAAACTCTTGTAAACTCTAAAACGAATGCGCATGGCGCCAAAACGAAAGCCACACATTCAAAATGACCCGCCCTTAAACCGTGAAACAAGTGCAACTGTGTAATACGAGTGTGCGCGGCGCTAAGTCGAGAACCAGATTCTGAAAAGGAACCGCCCTTACTCCGTGAAACTCTTGCAAGTATGTGGAACGAATGTGCACGGCGCCAAGGCGAGAGATGCATGTTGAAAACGAACCGCCGTCAATCCGTGATACGCTTGCAGATGTTTAACACGGGCTTGCGCGACGCTAAGGAGAGAACCGCAATCCCACCAGCCCTTTAGGGCGTGAGTGGTTTAGAGAGCCCCCTCTGTCCTCAACCCCCCTTCTTCCCCTTCGGGGAGGGGTTTACCCCTCCCCCTACCCCCTCCCCCTGGGTCTGGAGAGGGCGGGCCGCGGGTCGTTGGAGGGGTCTTTTTCGACTCCTGGGAGGGCTAAAAAAACGACGACCCTCACGAGGATTCTGCCCCCGACGGGGGGAGTGAGAAAAAATGCTCTCCTCTTCTGTGAAACCAAAATCCGTGCTTTTACGAGGGTTTTGGCCCCATGTTGGCCTCCCGAGGGGGCCGCGCTCATCTTCCTTCATAGCAAAACCGTTGATTTTACTAAGGTTTTGGGCTCATCTTGTCCTTTTCAGGGGGCAGCGCTTCTGCGCTTCTGAGGAGGTCGCCAGAGGCCCCAAGATGGCCCCCAGAGGCCCCCAGGAGCCTCCCAAGAGGCCTCCAAGAGGCCCCCAAGAGGCCCCCAAGAGGCCCCAAGAGGCCCCCAAGAGGCCCCCAAGAGGCCCCCAAGAGGCCCCAAGAGAGGCCCCCAAGAGGCCCCCAAGAGGCCCCCAAGAGGCCCCCAAGAGGCCCAAGACGATGAGGCCCGAACGACCACACGGACGAGGGGCCCGACTCACACCACGAAGAGCCCGAACGACTCACACCAGGACGAGGCGCCCGAACGACTCACACCACGAGGAGCCCGAACGACTCACACCACGACGCGGGCCCCGAACGACTCACACCACGAGGAGCCCGAACGAGTCACACCAGGAGGAGGGGCCCGAACGACTCACACCAGGATGAGGGGCCCGAACAACTCACACCACGAGAAGCCCGAACGACTCACACCAGGACGAAGAGCCCGAACGACTCACACCACGAAGAGCCCGAACGACTCACACCAGGAAGAAGGGCCCGAACGACTCACACCAGGACGAGAAACCCCAAACGACTCAAATCACGAGGAGCGCTTTCTCTCCCTCCTCCTCCGCCTCGTCCTTCTCCCGCTCCCCCCACAAGGAGGATGTACAAGGAGGCGGGAGGAAGGAGTCGACAAGGGAGATATGCGGGGCCAAACGGACACACGCCTGAAAAACACGACTGCCGGCATGCTTCGCATGAGTTGCTGTTGTGAGATGGGCTGGTGGGGATACGCGAAGCGTAAAGAATTTCATCAAAACCATGTGTCCTCAATCCGTGAAGCTCGTTGCACATGCTTCAATCGAATGTGCGCAACGCCAAGGCGAGAGCCACATGTTGGAAACGGCCCGCCCTCTATCCGTGAAAGTGTTGTCAGCGTTCAAGCTTGAGGCTCGCACATGGTCAATAAGTCTCAGGCGAACCACCCGACCCGCCCTTCCGACTGACCTCGGGGTGCGACGGGGAGGAGTCATTCATAAGGCAAAGGAATGGAGGATGAGGAGGAGGAGAAGGAGGAGAAGGAGGAGGAAGAGGAGGGACAGGGGGAGAGGAAGAGGAGGGGGGGGAGGAGGTACAAGACGAGAGCGCCAACTGCCGTAGCAACAAAACCGTCCGCATTCTCGAGTCAAGAGGAGGAGCATAAAGGAGGAAGGGCAAAAACAGGAAGAGGAGTGGCAGGAGGAGGAGGGGGCAGGAGGGAGAGGAAAAGGAGGAGGCGGCGGAGGAGGACGGGGAGAAGGAGGGGTAGGAGAAGGAGGGGCAGGAGGGAGGGGAGGAGGAGGAGGAGGAGGAGGCGGCGGCGGAGGGGGAGGAGGACGTGGAGGAGGAGGGCGGAGGAGGAGGAGGAAGAGGAGGAGGACCAGTGTAAACCCAAGAGTCATCAACGATGTTGGAGTAAACCCTCTCTCCAAGCTCCCTCTTCACAGGCCCCTACGACGGCTCATTTCCATTAATGGAACTGCCTCGTTGGAAGACTCCAGTTTGAAGACTCTGAAGCATGTCAAAACATTGTTCTCGGGATTCCAACGCCACGGATCAACCTGACTCCTGCGTCTTAACGATCTTGAATCACGCTAGAACGCCATTCCTAGAACTCCAACACACAGAGTCAACGTAATTGTTGCGCCCACATAATCCCGAATCCTTCCAAAAGACCATTTCTGGTACGTTGATGATGGGAATCCGAAAGTGTGTAAACGATTAAGCACGGCGCTACGACGAGAGCTACATGTTGAAAAGGAAAAGCCTGCAATCCGTGAAACTCTTGCATTCGTTTAAACGAATGTGCGCGGCGCTACGGCGAGAGCCACATGTTGAAAAGGAGCCGCCCTCAATCCGTGAAACTCTTGTAAATGCTAAATACGAATGTGCGCGGTGCTACGGTCAGAGCCACAGTTTGAAAAGGAACCGCCCGCAATCCGTGACACCCTTGCAATGTTCTAAAACGAATATGCGCGCGGCGCTAAGGCGAGAGCCACCTTTTGAAAACGGCCCGCCCTCAATCAGTCAAACTCTTGAAAATGTTAGAACGAATGTGCGCCGCGCCAAAGCGAAAGCCACATTTTGAAGACGGCCCGCCCTCCATATGTGAAACTACTGCCAGCTTTAAGCTTCAGAGTCATAATTCGTGAGGAATTCTCAAGCGAAGCGCTCGGACCGCCCTGAAAACTGGCCTCGGGGTACGACAGGGAGAAATCATTTAAAAGGAAAAGGACCGGAGGAGGAGGCGGCGGCGGCGGCGGAGGGGGAGGAGGACGGGGAGGACGAGGGGGACGGGGAGGAGGAGGAGGAGGAGGAGGAGGAGGAGGAGGAGAGGAGGAGGAGGAGGAGAGGAGTAGGAGGAGGAGGAGGAGGAGGAGGAGGAGGAGAGGAGGAGGGAAGGAGGAGGAGGAGGGAGGAGGAGGCGGGAGGGGGAGGAGGGGGAGGAGGACGCGGCGGAAGGGAGGAGGAGGAGGAGGGAGGAGGAGGAGGAGGAGGAGGAGGAGGCGGAGGAGGAGGAGGAGGAGGAGGAGGACGGAGAGAGGAGGAGGGGGAGGAGGGGGGCAGGCCGCCCCGAGCGGCGCCATGGCGCCTCGTGAGCTGGGCCGCTTGCCGCTCGAGCAGGGCGGCCCTGGCGGCCCGCGCCTGCGGTGCGGCGCTGCGCGCCGTCCCCCCCCCCCCCCCCGCCTTCGCGCGGCTCCGCCGCCGCGGAGCCAGCGAGAGGAGGAGGGCGGAGGAAGGAGGAGGAGGAGGAGAGGAGGAGGAGGAGAGGGGAGGAGGAGGGGAAGGCGGGGGGGAGTAGGCAGGAGGGAGGAGGAAGAGGCGGAGGACTCCTCGGGCGGGGCCAGGACCCATGACGAAACCGGGTAAACCGGCCCAGAGCTCTGGCAACCGGCACCGCGAAGCCCGCCAGACGTGTCCGCGGGCCCCGGCCGGGCGTCTCGCTCGAGCTTGCAAAACTCGCTGCGCCGAGGCTGGGGCACGCCAACAAGGCTGCGCGGATGGAGGGCCTCAGCACCGTGCAACCACCACCACCACCATATGCTGGAGCGGGAGGGGGTCCTCCTCCTCCTCCTCCTCCTCCTCCTCCTCCTCCTCCCTCCTCCTCTCCTCCTCTCCTCCTCCTCCTATCCTCATCCTCATCCTCATCCTCATCCTCATCCTCATCATCATCATCATCATCATCATCATCATCATATCATCATCATCATCATCATCATCATCATCATCATCATCATCATCATCATCATCTCATCATCATCATCATCATCATCACCACCATCACCATCACCATCATCACATCACCATCACCATCACCATCACCATCATCATCATCATCATCATCATAATCATCATCATCATCATCATCATCATCATCATCATCATCATCATCATCATCATCATCATCATAATCACCATCATCATCACCACAACCATCCTCCTCCTCCTCCTCCACCTCTCCGTCTCCCCTCCAACTTATGGTGATGGTGGTGGAAAACAGGCCCATCACAACAACTACCTGGATGGAGGCCAGCACGCTTCCAGAGTGGTACTCTCGCCGGAGACTTCCTCAACACGCGATACCACACGTGTAACCTTTGCCAGCCGCCACGCCGATGGAGGGCGGTGTTATGCTTCAGAACGGGGCTCCCGCCGCTGAGACCTCGCATTTTTGTCTCGTGGGAGCTGCAGGGCGCTTCCTGTGCAGAGCGGGGGTTCTGTTGGGCTCCGCCTTGAACTGCCAAGCCCCAGCCCGTCGTTGTCCTTACGGCTCGAAGGATGGACGGCGGTCTCCCTCGAAACAAAGCTTCCGAATGACTCGCGGGACCATGTATCGGCAAACATGGATTAGCGATCCATGGATTTGGCGCGCGGTCGCCAAATCCATGGATCGGTGGAGGTGCCCTTCCCAAAATGCGGCTGGTGCCGCCTCGCATGGCGGCGGAAATCCGCGATTTCCCATGGAAACGGAACCCGTCGCCAATCCCCGCCCCCTTAATCCATGTTTTGCGATCGCCCGAAGGATGGACGGCGGCCTCCCTCGAATCAAAGCTTCCGAATGAATCGCAGGGCCACGCAGCGCTCGTCTGTCAGGTGGGGCGCTTCTCGCAGCGAAGGAGAACGCTTGGTAGGGACTCTGACGTGCGAGGCGGGGCTCCATCCTCATCCACCGACTGGGGAAACGATTTCCTGGGATAGAGAATCCACAAAGGACGTACGCGCCCAACTATGTACATGAACGCGGCCCCTCGATCCGCGAGACCGGCCGCGTGATACGAACAGTCGCGCAACGCGTACTCTCGAAACCAGCGTGGATGCATGTACGTGTACGTTCTCTTTTCGCTCTTGCTAGGACCCCAGCGGGCGGAAATTGTGGGCAGATGTTGGATACCCAGGCCCGCAGCCTGCCTGGGCCCTCGCAGGTCGACCCCCCAGAGGTAGCGGCAGTGGATTCATCCCTGCCTCGAACATTGGACGAGAGGGTGTGCTGCAGCACCGATGCCACAGATTGGGTGCCCTCTGGCCCCCCCTCCCCCTCCTCCTCCTCCTCCTCCTCCTCCTCCTCCTCCTCCTCCTCCTCCTCCACCTGATCCCTCATCCCCCCCCTCCTCCTCCCCCTCCACCTGATCCCCTGCTCCGCTCGTCCGGCGCACGGGCAGGCAGGGGCGGCGGCAGCAGAAAAAGCAGTGGGGATGGAGGGATCTAACTGCTGCATGCTCACGTCGTGACGACCCCGGTGTTGGTTTCTGACACCGCGGGGATCGTTCGACTTGGAAGGATCGGTGGCTTCCCGATCGTCAGTTCGCTTCTGGGCCACTGGCGGCGACCAGCCTTGAACGCCAGCGGCGGGGTGGCCGCCAAGTCGACACGACACGAACATGCCGTTAGAAGGTAAGCGTTGTCTCTTTCGGCGTTTCGAGATTGGGCGGAAGGGGGCGGGGGAGGGTGAGGTCCGGCTCTGGACCTCTGCTTAGTACGACTCTTTGCAACCGTGCGTCCTATGAGGGAGACTCCACCTGCTCGAAACAGGCGCCAAAAACATCTAAGATCTACTCCAGAGGGGAGGTGGGGGCGAGGGCCTGCGCCGATCGGCAAAACAAGGAATAAGAAAACGATCACAATAATACGATCTTGTTTGTCGCTGGGTCTGTTCAGCGAGCGGTGTGAGCAGCGCGAAGCACCGAACACGGCGTGCGCGACACCTCAGGGCTGGCACGGCGGCGCCCATCGGGAACTCCCCAACTCGGCCACGGCTGCAGGTAGATGTCCAGCCTGCTCCAGCGGCGCAGGTTCGCCACCAGAGGTCTGGTACAGCGGCGGCTCACTATTACGACAGCTTCGCTTTTCGCCGATGGCACATCAAGCTTGCAAGAATCTTGGATGCGCCATATACTGGAACAACGACCACGGACAGCACGACCAATATACTTACCACTGTGGCAATGATTTCCATTTGTAGACTGGCGTCGTCCGAGTCCACAGGAGAACAGCCTGACGGCATGGTTGTCGTACTCCCCTGCCGATCAAAAAGACGATTGTCAATCTCGGAGAGCTTGAAGATCCGGTGCAGCTTGGGCTCTGGCTCCGCGTCAAAAATCTTCACTGCGAGCGTTCCGGCCTGCCAGTCTACCTCCAATTCACCAAAATTCAACCCCAGATCCGCTGGCCCAGCGTGCCAAAGACGTGCGGCGTGCGAGAAAATCTGGTGTGAGGGTCAGGACAATGCTACATTGTACGACCTCGCCCGCGCGCGGCGTGCCCCCTAGGGCCACCGGACGACAATTGCCCTGGCAAGGTCCAGGGGCACCCCTTGCGCATATGGGGTCAGAGATGCTCGATCCGGGGCGCAGTCTCAGGGCCCTCCGAAGCGCTCCAAGGCACCCCAGAAGTCGCCGAAGATTGTCCAAGACAGCCCCCAAGACGCTCCCAGGAGGCCAAAGAAAATGCAAAACCTAGCGTTGTTCGATAGTTGTCGCTTCCTCGTTCGTATGGGATTCTGCGGACTCAAAGTGGCTCCAAAATGGCTCCAAATAGAATCCAGAAGGGCTCCAGAAGACCCCGAGAGCGGTCCAGGAAAGGCCCACCACAGCTCGAAGAGGGTCCCACGAGAGGCCCAGAGAGGCCCAAGACAAGGCATCGAGGGGTGGCAAGCCCCAGGACAACAGACAATCACAACAGGCCACAAGATAGCCCCAAAGGTGGCCCAAGATGGTCCAAGACTGTCGCCAAGAAGCTTCCAAGAGTCATAACAATTCAAGCAACTAAGATATTAAAATAATAGTCGCTTCCAATGGGGCCCAGAAGTGTCCGTGAGAACTCTGGAAAGCCCCAAAGAGCGCCCCAGGACGGACAGGATGTCTCGCCCTGCCACTTCGTATGGACTTCAGAGCGCCCAGATATTGCCTCATGGGAGCTCCAAAAGAAGGGTACTACTGCCACCCCGCAATTTCCGAATCGCCACGACCACGCGATCAGAAGGCAACGCCTAAACCTTCAAACGTATATATGTAGATGTGCACATCGCACCGCGTCTGCGCGATTGACTCATGTAATCCATCGGTGCATGATGTAGATATGCGTCCTGCAAACTCGTGACTATGGAAAGTTGAGGTACGACTCCGCGTATCCGTGTCTGAACCCTATTGGCCTGATCGTCTTACCCATGGCACTTCCCTACATAACCAACTGCCAACAGTGAAACTCAATGGGCCAACGGAGTGGGCGAAGCGACTGAATAACTGAGTCCCTTGCCAGTAGCAGGATCTCGCAACTGATATCGGTAAGGGAAGAGGGCCTGAAGCAGCCTCATGAACATATGCATGGCTTGCGCAGCGAAGATATTGTCAACATTCGGTGGCCCCGTTCCCCAACTGTGCGTCATCCCACTGCTTTGGACTTCCAAAACGGTACCACCGGTGCACTTCGCTTGGCTGAGCTGAGCGAAGTGAACATCTCCAGTCAAAACGACAGGGGCAGAAATATTGGTTTGGGTGATCAAGCGAAGTAGACGGTCGCGGGCATGCGGGAACCGACGCCAATTCTCTCCGCCCAATGCCACCACTACCGGAAGGACCGGCAAAGAACTCACAAAGATGTGTACTCTTGCTGTGCTGGTTGCCAACAACTGTTCCAACCACTTCCACTGCGCTTCACCAAGAAAATCTCCATCTGGCGTACCGTAAGAATCCCGATGGTACCTCAGATCGAGGAGAACAATGAGAACCGACCCGCCGTCGTAGTCGAACCGTTGCGACGTGTAGACTCCTTCCTGCGATCGCCTCGAACTGTGGGAAGGCTCCTGTAAAAAATCGAGGAAGGCCGCCTGGCTCCAACGCTTGCCATCGAAACTCTTGTCGCCGTCGTTCACTCCGTAATCATGATCGTCCCATGTGCCAACTATCGGCACGGACGAGTTCACCAGCTGAGCGTAGCCAGGCTCAGCAAGTTGTCGTTCGTAGGTGCTCCGAAGGTATGCCTCGTCAGCTGGCCGAAAAGGTTGCCTCCCACCAAGCACTCTCCAAGGCTCCAACCTGTCGGCGTAAATGTTGTCCCCGCCCCAGATCCAGACGTCTGGCCTCCGAGATAAAACGTGCGGCCACAGCGGCTGGGCCATGCGCGCATCATTACAAGATCCGAAGAGGAGGCGGGTCGGAGAAGCATCGGCGAAGGACGCCTCCAACGCTACAAGCAAGCGAAGCCACAAAGCCATCCAGCGTGGCGGACGCCCGCAGGGCGTGGAATGATGCAGGGCAACAATCACTGAAACACGCTAAATTACTTGAGCCAACAGCGGCGGACGACGCTGACAACCGCCTCCAGGACTTCACGCGTCTTTGTTTGTGCGCGTGGTGTGAGGGAAGCGGGAGACCTCCGACGTCGCGTTGCTTCAAGGACCATACCGACCGAGCGGGGCCGACTGCGAGGCAGCTGGACCCACCGAATCGTGCACACCAGGACTGTCGCTCCCCTCCTCCTCCTCCTCCTTCTCCTCCTCACCCTCCTCCTCCTCCTCCTCCTCCTCCTCCTCTTCCTCCTCCTGCTCCCCATCCCCCTCAATCCTGCTCCAACTCTGGAGGACGACCAAACTTGGCCGGAGAACATCGGGTCGGCGGATTGCGCCGCATCACCGATACATCGGCGACGTATCGGGACGTCAGGGCGGGGCAACTGCGGCTCTGGATCGCACCGCACTGCCGATGCATCGGCGAGGCGGCGCGCTCCTCTGGCCGCATCTACTCCCACCCCATGAGAGCGGCATGAATCGGGGGCACGCTAGCTAAGGATCCGCGGATCTGGCGAGTGAGCTCCAGAGCCATGGATCTCGAGGGAAGCACCCCCCGAGACATGGGGCCGATGCTGCATCGTTTTTTTTGCGACGAACGCCCCGACTCTGCACGGAAACGTGGGCCGTCGCCAATCCACGCGCCTAGATTCAGGTGTGCTGGCGGCGCGCACACAGGGGGTAGGGGATGGGGGAGACGCTTCGTAGAAGGAGGCTGCTTCTGAGAAGGCGCCAGCCCTCACATCTACAGACAGGGCCCGCGCCTTCTGAGAAGCACGGATGCTTCTGAGAAGCCTTCCCCCTCTGCGCGTGGCCGAGGCGTTCGCTTCCTCGCATGCAGCCTCACCCTACTCCCTCTCCTCGCCGGTCCCGCCCTCCTCCCCTCTTCCTCCCCCTCCCCCTTATGGGCAACTTCAGGCGCGGCCCAACCGACCCCAAGCAAACCATCCCCTTCCGTGACGCCACCCTCGCCTTCCAAACTACCCTCCGGCCGCATACATGCGTCTTGCGGCGAGGCGAGGGGGACGTCACGGAAGGGGGTGGATTGCTACGGGTTGGTTTGGCCGCCCCTGGCGACATAGTGCTCTACCTGGATCGCCCGACCGCAGCCCTGTTTCCCTCTCACGGGTGTCTCCAGAAACCCCTGGCTCGGCGGGCGCCAAAAGTTTTGGACGCCCGAAATCGGTATGGACAAATGGGTACAGTGCCCAGCAACAGATGCTGCCCATTACGAAACCGACAGCGACCGCTGTTTGGCACGCGACCCGTTTTTGTCTTCAGAGAACAACGTCCTCGGCGGCGCGGACAGCGAGCCCTGCTCAAAATGAACACGAACTGCTGTTCGGCATCGTACACTGGGTGGGACACGATTCGCGGGGTGGGCGACCTTCCGACGGAGCTTACCCATCCGCCCCCCTCCTCCACCTCCTCCTCATCCTCCTCCCCATCCTCTTTCTCCTCGTCCTCCTCCTCCACGGTGTGTACGGGACCCTGGTGTACGGGACCCTGGTGTGTACGGGACCCTGGTGTATACATTTTTCGTTGTTTCCCCGGGACGTCGAGGAAAAAAGTATACACCACACCACCCCAGCGTCGTCCCCGACCCTCAAAAAGACCTGGGATTGAAAAAACAACCCGCCACTGGTAATGCATAACTATGTTCCAGTTTCCGACTCCCACCCTTTCCGATAGCACGTGCCCAACCCCCCGCGCAGATCCACGGAGGGGGGAGGGGGGCGATTATTGCCCCATCCGGAGTAGTCGTTCTTTCTGTACCCGCTTCGATCGTCTCGAGAGGTGCTGCGCCAGAATTGCGCCAGCCCGCCAAGCCGCACTCACAGAGATTTTGAGCACGGGGCGCGACGCCCAAAGAGGCCTCCTAAGAGGGAGGGCCCCACGAGGCCGAAATCATTGATTGTCTGTCGGATTTTGCAAGGTTCGGGCGCTCTCGACTTCTCGGCTTCCCGACGCTCTCTGACGGCCCCAGAGGCCCCCAAGACCGCAACCGCCGCCGTCCCCGCGCCCCCGCCGCCCCCGCCGCCGACGAGGGCGCCGGGCTCCACCGACGACTGCGCCGACGGCGGCGGCGCCGACGACGGGGGGAACCAACCAGCACCACCACCGCTACGCCGTGAGCCTCGCCGGAGGGCGCGCTCCGGCAAGAAGATCGAGGCAAATCCAACCGTGGCGACGCGAGCAAGGCGAACACGAGGCATGGGCAGCCTTATCTGCGCCCCGTCCTCCTCGGATCGTCGGGCACACGCCCGTACGGCGCGCGGGGGCGCCATGCTAGCACGCGCGGGCGCCAGATCCATGCAGCTGCATTCATGGAACGCGCCCCCCGAAACGTGACGCCGTTGCCGCCGGATTTGGCGACGGGGCGCGATGATTATACGCAGCGAGCGGGGGGGGGGGAGGAGAGGGGGCGGGCCTTCTCAGAAGGCTTGGAAGGCCGCGGGTCTTCTGAGAAACCTTCGGAAGTTCCCCAATGACGCAGGCAACCTCTCAAAACCGCGGGGGGATCTGAAACCCCCTCCCCGGCCTTCTCTGAAGGCCTCCTCCTTTTCACTTCCCCCCCTGGGCTCGCCGCCGAATTTTTATAGTACGGACCCGTCGCGAATCCACGCGCCTCTATCTACGTCCGTGCTTCCCCGGAAACGACGGCGGCGGCAGTGACCTCCCGAGGCGGGGCGGGCTGCGCACGCGCGCGGGGCCTCCCTCTTGTCCGCGAGGGCCGCGCAGCTGCGGGCCGCCGCCGCGCCCAGCTCCGCGCGGGCATCCACCGCCGCGCCGGCGGGGGTGTCCACCTCGCGGGGCGGCGGGCGGCGGCGGCAACCCTGAATCCTCAAGACGGTTGTGCCCCGCTATGCGCCAAAGTGACCCCAGGCAAGAGTGACGTTTGGGACCGCGGGGGCGCCAGGTGGCCTACTCCGAGCGCGCAACCAGCCGCTGTCGCATCGCGCTCAGCGATCGATGGGGGCACCGATGAGACCGCACCGAGGGCCATCCCGGGACAGGGTTCCTTTTACGTGTAGCCGACTGGCACACCACACCGCCCCCGCCCCAGTCAGATTCCACCGCCTCGGCCACGCTCAGAATTCCAAAGTCACTTCCCACTTCCCAGACACAGTAACCGCAACGACCGAACTACACAGAGCCAAATATCCTCCATCCGCCCACTGGCCTTCTGAACATGAATGTCCCCGGTTCCCCTCCCTTTCTGAGCGGCCGCAGTTTTCGGGCGGAACTCGGTGATTCGGGTCGATGGGTCGCCTGCGACGGGAAGGCACCCAAACTTCCAGCGCATCGGAAAACAAATAACGAACGTTGTTCGCAATGCGTGACCTTCGGGGGTCTTCGCCAAGCACATGTCATGGCGAAGAAACACTCCCCGGGAATGGATCGAAACCTTCGGGGGTCGTTGTGAGAAATCATGACGGTGGGGGTCTGGGCGCGCCCTCACCATGACCTCTTCGCGTACATTTCCATGGCGTTCATCGAATATCTGAGGCGCTCGCGCTTCGCAATGCCTGCCAACCCTGAGCCTCGCAGCGAGCGCTCCCAGGGCGGAGGCCCAGCTATGCGGCCCGAAAGCGGAACGCTTCGCGTTGTGGAAGTCAGCGCCGTGCAAAAAGGGGGACTGAATGGGGGGCCGCAGAACGCGGCGGGGGCCTTTTCAAAAGCCCCCGCGCCTTCCAAAAAACCACGCACGGTTTCTCCCAAGCGGAAGACGGCTTCTCGGGAGGGGACCCATGCAGGACACCCTCCCGGGGGGGGCCCTGCAGGGCCCCAGCGCCGCCCACGACGCGACTCGGGAGAGGAGGGGTCGACCCCAGGCTGAGGTCCGGGCCTCTGATCAAGCGCTGGGAAAGCGCCCTGGTTCGCCTATAGGCCCAGTGATGAATGTCATGATAAGCGGATGCGATGCGCACGAGTGGTGTTTCTAGAACAGGCATGGCTAAAACTGTCTCGTTTGATCACATCGGTTGTCTGATACAAGAGCATTGCGCACTTGGTTCTAAGAACAGATCGCAGTAAACGTATAAGAATGACAGGCATGTCTGTCCCTGTCGGCGCCGCGGACAAATATGCGCCGTCGGACGTTCGAGAACGAGGGGGCCGCGGGACGGGGAGCTGGCCCAAAGGAGAAGCGCCTAGCTGACATCAAAGATGCCATGCCGTTGGATCGGCGATATTCCTCCGATAGAACATCCGCATGCTCCTGGGAGAGATTGGAGCTATCGGGCCCCTCTCGGCGATGAGCGGACGATTGAGGGCCGGCGCCTCGCCCCCTGAGCCAAGTCCCCCCCGAACGCTGCTCCGTGAGGCTTTCGGGCCAAACCTCCGCTATCTGGCGGCCGTTCGATGCGACTCCGGCAACCCTGGAACGCCTTCGGCGAGGAGAAGCCGCTATCAAGCAACCTGGGACTGATGACCACCGACAACCGAAGAGACGCTCCGAAAGCCGCGACCCTCGAACCTCGATCCTCCCATCGGCGAGGAGTAGGGGATTGCGGGCCTGATGCGCCGCGCGTAGCCGAGGCGGGCCGCAGTCTCTTCGCTCGCCGCGCCAACTAGCGCCGCAGCTGGGCGCGCGCGCTCTGGACACGAGCCCGTCGCAGCCGCCGCAGCTTGGCCCTCTTGGCCCTACCCCCCGCCCCCCCCCCCCCCCGACTGTTGCCCTTGAGGGAACGTCGAAGGCGGCGGGCGGCGGCGTGCACCTCGCGGGCGGCTGGCCGGCAGGCAGGCGGCAGGCGGCGACAGGCGACGAGCGAAGGCGGGCGACGGCGGCGCGGAGGCGACGAGTGGCACGGCGAGGGGACGAGGACGACAGCGAGGGCGGCGGTGAGATTGGCAGCCGGCGCGACGAGGCGACGGCGGAGGGAGACGCGGAGGGCGACGAGGAGAGCGACGAGGCAGATGAGGAAGATGATGTCTGTTCGTCGTCACTGCCGCTGTCGCGGGAGGGTGGGGGGGTATCTACGACAGGTTCGTGTCGTGCCGACTTCGGCGTTGGTTTCTGACACTGCGGGGGTCGTTCAAGCTTGAACGATCGGCCATTTCCGAAACGTCAGATCGTTCAACATCGGCCGATTCTGGGTAGCCGGCGGCGTTCAACTTTGAACGCCGGCGGCGGGGTCGCTGCTGGTCGACACGACGCGAACCTGCCGTAGGGAAAGAAGGGGGGGAGGGAAACGGAGGGAAGGAGGACGATGAAGCAGACAGGGAAGGGAGTGGGGGAGGGGTAAGTTAGGGAAGGGAGAAGGGGGAAAGGGAGAGGGCGAGGCAGGGGAAGACACCCCAGGACGAGGGGCGGACGGGACGGGGGGAAGCAGGGCGGGAAGCGGGAGTGGGAGGGAAAAGGCAACCATTCCAGAGAGGAGGGCGACCCCCCCGCTTCGGCAGATGAGGAAGAGTAAGAGGAGGACCCATACCCCCCGACGCCTTGATTCTTGACCAACAGCACCCCCAAAAGGTCTGGACCCCTTCCCCGGCCAAAGTTTTCACCCGGGCTGTTTTTTGACGGTCCAGGGGCCCCGAGAGCCACCGGCAGAAAACGGCAACAAAAACTCCGCACGAATATTTGAACGCGTTGAAGATCCAGGGGCGAGGGAGCTGCAGGAGGAGAAAGATGCAGGCAACGAGAACGGCCACAATGACCAAAACTGAAAGCGAAAACGTCTATGTCGATCGCGGTCACCGTAAATTCGTGCATCATCCTCGCAAATCGGCAACGGCTGGTATGGACCACCATGACCAACATCGGCATCGACAAGATCCCGCGACATCTTGGTCATGGTAATTACCTTTCTTCCCTCGAGAATAAAAGAGGAATAACAAACTGCGTAAACGTAAACATTCGGAGGTCTGCGCGGATTTCCTAGATCGGCACTGGACCACCCCTCTCTGGCGCGCGGAGCGCGCCAGCGGCTGCGCCAGAGACGCCGCGATCCAAGAAATCCGCGCGGTCCTTCGAAAATCCATTTGTTTATGCCGCACGGTGTCCTTCGAGAGCAGAGGGACGAGGAGGAGGAGGAGGAGGATGAGCAGCGTCTCTCCCCTGATCTCTGGGTGTTTGTTTCTCCCTCCCCCGGCACCAGCTGGGAGGAGGGATACATCGAGGGCATCGGGGCGATCCCCCGACAGTGTCAGCAGCTCGAAGCTCGAAGGAGGAGGAGGAGGAGGAGGAGGAGGAGGAGGAGGAGGAGGAGGAGGAGGAGGAGGAGGAGGAGGGAGGAGGGAGGAGGGGGAGGGGGAGGGAGCCCCTCTCCTGCCAGCCCAGCCCGCTGCCCTGCACCCTCGCGCGTGGCCCGCGGGGCCACCATGGCGCGCAGAGGCTGCCCGGCGAGGCCTCTGGCCGACCGCCGCCTCGCGCAGGCGGCGGCGGTTGGGGGGCGTCAGAATAGCAACTCGCGAGAGCTGCTGGAGCACATCCCGAGGCGGAAGAGGAACGAGAACGAGGATCGACGATGAGGATCTGGAGGCACCTCCTGGGAAGTCTTCGTGAGAAAGATGTGGGGGCTGTTGAGCCAGATGAAGGGACCAATCCGGGCATGCCTGGCACGCCTTCGGCGAGGCGCAGCTACTGTAGCACATCCTGAGGCTCGACATCCGCGGGGAGCCGACGACAATGCCAGGAAACCTCGAACCTCGGCTCTCGATCCCCCCCTGGCGTAGCCCCTGATTACGTCATGGCGACGAGGTTCGCCTCCTACTCCGAAAGCAGCTCACGGAAGCTTTTGGTCGTCCCCATGGCACCCAATTGCGCGTCCAGCAGCGCGCAAAACGGACGTAGCGCATCTCCCTAATATGGCGCGAATGGAATATATATATATATATATAGGGCGCTAATTGAATGCTGTTCGGCGCTATTGGGCGCGGTGCGCGCGCTACTGGGCGCTGTACGTGCAATGCAAGACGATCGGAAGCTCCTTATGACTCAACATCCAACAGACTCCCAGACCACCTCGCGTCGTGAACAAAATCGCAGCGGGAGGTTTTTGTACGGTTTCGACCCCCAGAGGGGCCCTCGCGGGGCCCCTGGAAGAGTCAGAACACGGCCCAGGGTGAAAAGCCCGTCCCAGGGAACTTGCCATCGCTCGGACGTCCATTCCCCTTGCATCATTTTTCGGCTTCGTGCGATGTTTTCCCAAAAGGGTCCGAGATGCTCATCGATGGTCCTCACCTGTTCCCTTTTGGAGAAACACATTCGAGCGATGCCAAAGGAAAGGGTCCTGACCTCTGGGGGGTCATGCTGCGAAACAAATCGCGACGTCGGGCGTCTGGGCTGGGGTGGACATGCCGTGGACAACCCATCGGAGTGAAGCCCGGCGGCCAGCCTGGGGGGGAAGTGAGAAGGGGCGGGCCTTCTCAGAAGGTTCGGATGTCAACCGGGCTTCTGAGAAGTTGTTTTAAGAATTTCCCGACGATGCAGGCAACTTCACAGAAGGCTGGAAGGCTTCTGAGAAGCCCTGCCGCCTTCTGGGAAGGCCTTCTCATTCTCACTTACTTCCCCTTCTCGCTCGCCGCCGAGTATCAGCTGAAAAAACAAGCACCATGCCTTGAGACAGAAACGGAGGGCGGGTTAAGAACGTTCAGCAACAACGAATGCTCATATGCTGAACCCGCTTGTTGGGGGCTCAGGGCTTGCGAACTCAGAGCCAAATAATTCAGTTTAGCAGCGCGGAGCTGGTGCAGCTACAGCATCAGTTTGAAGCCCCACACCAATGTCCCCTCCTGAGGGGCAACGATCGGAGAAGACTGGCACAGGGGGGACACCTCGGGATGGAATCGGCGATACATCGCTGATAGATCGGCGACTGGCCCCCGATAGCGAATCCGCACCTTCCTGGGCAGGCTGGGGCTGTCGGGCCCCTCTCGGCGATCTGTGGGCGAGGGGGGGGCCGATGCGCCCCCCCACCACAGGCCCGCCCCCCCCCGCCGTGGCCTCTGACCTCCGCGGGCACCGCGCGCGATGGCGCCCGTCCCGCGCCAGCAGGCCCCGCATGTCGTGGACGCGACAGCGATCTCAGACAGGGGGGAGCAAGAGCAGCCCCGTGATCGGGGGCGCGCAAGCATGGATCAGCGATCCAGGGATCTGGCGCGTGGTCGCCGAATCCACGGATCGGAGGAATTGCCCCCCCCCCCAAAAAAAAAACGGCTGGTGCCGCCTCGTTCGGCGGCGGAAATCCGCGATTTCCCATGGAAACGGGACCAGTCGCTCATCCACGCCCCCTTGATCCGTGCTTGCGATCACCTGAGACAACGGGCCACGGAGGGCAGAAGGTGGGAAAAAAAGCTCAGAGAGAAAAAATCAGATCCTCGGAGATCTGGGAACGCGGCCCCTGAGATCTCGGGTCGAGAGGCAGAGGTCCGCCAGGCAGGCCCCTCGCGCGCGCCGCCGGAGCTCGGCCATCACCGAGCAGGGAGCAGGGGGAAGCCCCCCCACGTCACTGCCGAGCGCGCTCCCCCCCCCGAGCCCATCCCCCCCTGACGCTGCACATGGCTCTCGGGTCATAGCCGGGCTGGCTCTCCGGCGGCCGTTCGGGGGGATCGGGGCTCCTCTGGCCCGCTCTCGGCGAGGCGCAGCTGCTGCAACGCATCCCGAGGTGGGAGAACCCGAGAACGTTCTCGAGCCTGGAACCTGAAACCTGGATCAGTCAGGAGGGCAAAATCAGCACAAAGACAACAACGGTGTTATTGCAGTATTGAAAGATAGAATTTAAAAACCAAGCAACATGCAAACTGATGGGAAGCAGAGCAGCAGAGCAGAGGGCCAAACGCCCGGGGGCGCGTCGGCAGGCGCTACTGTAGCGCACTCACGTGTTTCCTCCAAGCACATTCGTCTTGTACAAGCACCTCCCACTGAAGATGTTCGCCTGATAGCCGTCGTACATGCGTCAATAGAAACTTAGCCCATTCCAATCTGGGTCGCCCAGCCTTCCTGACGCAGTGGTCCGTGATGAGTTTCAGAGTGCCGGGGACGAAAATTGAGTCTCCAGGCTCTGCTCTCGCTGCCTTTCCAAACAGAAGAAGCTGTTGCTTGAGAAGGGTACTTGTCAAAGGCTCTTGCCGCGTCCAGGCCCGGATGCTCGCGTTCGATACTCGAGAGAACATGGGGTGCTTGACCCCGCAGAGGGACCGCAACATCCGGCAATGTGCTCCGCCCAGACGACGCCGTTCTGCCGCGTTCAGACATGCCGTGTTCAGGCTGTAGAGGAGCTTGGGTATGATGATGGCGCTGAACAAGTCGATCTTCCGTTGTTCTCCGATGCTCGTGTGCCCCCAGACTTTCTTAAGCCTTGAGAACTCTGCGTATGCCATGCCAAGCCGCCGGTTGAGCTCACTCTCCAACCTGCCGTCGCTGCTGATGGTGGTGCCCAGGTAAGATATTTTGTCTGTGGCTGCAATGGCCTCGCCTGTAAGAGTGTGAACATCTCCGCAGCATCGAACGCGCATCAACTGGAGCTTCCCCCAATGCAGTTCCAAGCCCACCAAGCTGGCCGCTTCCTGCACCACGCGCAACCACTCTTGCATATCCTCTGCACGTCGCGCGATCAGTAGAGTGTCGTCGGCGTAGACCAACTGCCCAACACGTTCCGCGAGTTGCTGTCCGAGCGCATCCGCTGCGTCAGTCATGATGACGGTCATGACCATGACGAACAGGAGGGGCGAAAGCGGGCAGCCCTGGGAAATCCCTGATCTCTGCGCTCGTTCCGCTGACAAGTGCCCGGCCTCCTGGACCTGGAATGTGCGCCCATTGTAAATATCCCCAACGATGCGCCGGATGCTACTGGGGAGTCCAAACCGTTCCAGAGCGGCTAGCATTGCCTCCGTGTTCACAGAATCGAACGCCTGTTTCCAATCCAGAGCGGGAAAATACCCATTTCCGTGCTGTAGTGCCCACTCTTGTTCAATACGCCGTCGCAGAATGCAGATGGCGCCCTGCGTGCTGCACCCTCTGCGGAAGCCGAGCTGGCACTTCGAAAGCCGTTGTTCCACTCCCGCGTCGAGGAGCCGCTTGTTGACGAGAGCAGCGAAGATCTTGTATCCAAGACTCAACAGGCTGATTGGGCGGTAATTCTCTGGCAGTTCAACGTTCCCTTTCTTATAAATGGCCGTTACCATAGCCTGATGCCAAGCCTGCGGTGTTTTCCCCTCGAGCCAACAATTACTCATGAAATCCGTGACATATTCCAGGCGCTCGGTGTTCGTAGCCAGAACCTTGAAATACTCTGCAGGAATGTCGTCTCCACCAGCCGCTCGGCCATTCCGCATCTTGCGAATGACTGCCTTGACCTCCTCCGCCGAGAACGCGCCCTCATTGACGTTGAGGGCGGGCCCAAGAGGCGGACCATCTGCGCAGCCTGCTGGGCGGACGCGCCACTGCGCACGTTCCAGGTACTCTGCCATAGTATCGGCGTTCTCCTCGCTCGGCGTGAGGACGCCGGCTGCGTTGCGGAGGCTGGATTGGGTCGGTCTCCGCGTCTTCCGGATCAGCTTCAGGCCATCCCAAGTGCCTGTCTGTATGCAGTCGTTGAGCCACATAGTTTTGTCCGCCTTCGCCGATCTCCTCACTTTCCGGCGCAGGTCCCGTTGCTTGACCTGGTCGTTCTCCAGGCGCGCCTGCGACCGCTGGTCAATGAGGTCCAACGTGCATTGGCTAATCCACGGCCGCCGGCTGATACGATACTTCTCTGGGACCGCGCCCCCTGACACCTCAAAAGCTCCGACCATACCAGCCCGCGCATCGTCAACGGACTCGCTCCCCCGTGTCTGCGGCGCCATGTCTTTGAAGGTTTGCGTGAATTTCCTCGCCGCGCCTGGCAACGTCAAGGCGCTTCTATCCTTCCGCTTCGTAACCTGCTTGGGAGGCGCCTCGAAGCAACGACGGATCGAGCATGATACCAGAAAGTGGTTCGACTGTATCCCTGCTTCCCTATGGCCCCTGATATCCTGGGCGTCGGAAGCGAAACCAGACTCCACCAGGGCCAGATCGAGCATGTTGTGGGTGCGTTCTGTAACCTCGCTCATGTGTCCGGCGCCGCTTTCCACGAACGTGGCCTTTTCTTCTGGCATCCCCTCCACGTAGGTGTTGCCTACCATCAGATCGCGTTCCAGGCAGAACTCCACAAGTAAGTCTCGGTTCGGAGGCTCCACTTTCTTGACCGCTTCCCTGCCCCAGGTATGTGTTCCGAGCACGTCCTCCTCGCCCTGCCTCCTCTGCCCAAGTCGGGCACTCATGTCGCCCAGCAGGAGCCGCTGGCCGCTCACCGAGCACTTGTCGCACAGATCGTCCAAGTTCTCGTAGAAGGCGAACTTCTCCTCCGGCGGCTTCTCATTGTGTGGAGCGTACGCTGTGCAAATTCCAATCGCGCCGCCCCTGACGTTCATCTTGATGCGTGCTGTTCTTCCCGTATGCTCCAGAAACCCTCGAACTCCACGTCGGGCCCAAGGTGCTACAACAAAGCCGACGCCTGCCCGTTCCCCCTGGGATCCAGATAGAATGACTAAGAAACCACTGTCGCAATAGCTATCCGACAAATCTTTCCACGTCTCTTGAAGACATAAAACGTCAAGCTTGTAAGACCTCATGTGCACCTGAATGCAAATTAATTTCTCCTCGGTGAGACCTTGGGCGTTCCACGTGCCGGCTCTAAGAACCCGCCCATGAGCATCCCAAAACTGCCTCCTTAGAGTTCCCGCTCTGACATCTTCGTGAAACCTTAGAGTTCCTTAGGATCACGGGGTGAAACCAAAACTGCTCCGACGCGCCCCTGTCCCCGTCAATTGGGGGTTTTCCCTTTTCCCCAGCCTTTCGCCCCGCCCTCCCCAAAGTTCGTGAGGCGCTCGCCGGCCTTGGCAATCAGCTCCGCCAGCTCGCCTGCATCCGTAAAGTCGGACCACTTCTCCCAGTCGCTCGCCAACCACTTCATCGTCAGGACGTTGTGCTCCACGACGGCCTGCAGAACGTCCGTGCCGCCGACGCTCATAACCATCTCCTCCTCGTCCACCTTGATGGCCTTCTTGCTGAAGTTCCAGCTGACCAGCAACTTCTTGACGCCGACCAGGAACCCCAACGGGACGCGCTCCTGCAGAGGACGATCCGGCCCACACCACACCAACCCCCCCTTGATGTTCAGGCGCTGGCTCCCAATGCTCTCCAAGGCTGCATCCAAAGCTAACCCACCAGAAAAACGCGCGAAAAATATACATTTGAACTCCTCCCCCTTGTAATACATATCCGCCGGCACCTTCAGACCTACCTTGTTCAGATGGACTGCGATGCTGTCCTTCGCCTCCTGGAAGCTTGTGCCTTGACCAAACCCGCCGAGAATGGCCACCTTCCTGTTCGTGTGCTCCTTCTTGATCTTGTGAAGGTTCGTTTCCATGTCAGTTATCTTCTTCCTCAGCTCCTCATCGACCCTCCCGATGCCCTCCTCCCCTCCCTTGCTCTTCAACTCCTCCACCTCCTTGTGCAAGGCCTCGAGCTTGTCCTCCAAGCTGCCGATGGCCTCGTCGGTGGCCTTGGCCACCCCTTCGACCTTCTCCTCCACCGCCCGGAGCCTCAGGTCGCGCTCCTCAAACTTCTCCGCGATCATGTCCCCAAGCCTGCGTGTAAGGACGCCTGCCAGCTTGCTCATTTCGGGACCCACGTCGTCCATGTCGTCCTCCTCCTTTTTGCGACTCTTGGGAGGTGGCGTAGACCCGGTCAGAGGACCCCGGGGCATGCTGAGGTTCTCGCTGACCTGCCTCACAGCGGCCTGAACCCGCCCTTTCAACCGCGCTCCCATCCCTTCACTCCTCTCCGTCTCCTCCAACCGCTGCCACAGCCTGCCCTGTCGTCCATGATCCTGCCTGCTGTCGTCGGCAGCGCTGGCCATGGCTGTGATTGCGCAAGCAGGAACCGGAGATGTCTCGGTTTACCCGCTATCGCAAGCACGGGTCCTGCGGATTGCAGTGACAAGACTTGAGACTTCGTGCTTGAGCCAGAATCCTTGAGCCAGAAACTGATGGGAAGCCCGTGAATTTTACAATCCCACCAGCCCTCTGGGCGTAGGTGAGCTAGGGAGGCTCCTCTTCCAACCCCCTTCTTTCCCGTCGAAGAAGGGTTTACCGCTGTTCCCTGTTGATATACAGTACACCCCCTCCCCCAGGCGACCAGCGGCCAACCAGGAACCATAATCACCCCCCACACACACACAATCCCTATCAGCAAACAAGACAAACCGCACTCTGCCTCCACATTGGGAGCATGCGCGGCCAACCCGATGCGGCGCCCCACCACCATCCCTGTCAAACAACTCAGTACAACATACACTTTGGGACAAGAATCGTACTCGTGAGGCCGGCGAGCACTTTGTATTGTTTTTGACAGGGGCGGCAGGGATGTCAGCATATTGCCTGCTGTGCGCAGGGCGACCATTCCTTACACAAACACAAAAAACATACAAAATGCACCTCGCGGCTAAATCTGGATAGTGCGCGACCACCTCGCGATCTTTGTCAAGTGGTTTTTGTCAGGGACGGCGGGGGTGGTGGCGCATGGCCTGCTGCGCGCAGGCCCACCGAACTCAATGATGGGCATTGGTTTTCGACAAGGATGGTGGGGGCCGACATATTTCCCGATGTGTGCTGTCACGTGCGCAGGCGCACCTGATACACTATGCAAGTGCCCCGAACGTAGCGCACCTGCGGCACACCTGACGCACGCGGAGCACGTGGCGCATCTAGCGCACCATGCGTGCCTGACACGCTCGGGCCCCGGGGGTGCCTGGCCCGCGTGGCGCGCCTGGCACGCGTGGCGCGCCTCGCCCCAGCGTCGCGCACATGGGGTCGGTTTGCGTTCCCAGTAGCTGATCATCCAAGACGACCGCTGGACATGCTCAGGCTCGGATGTTACTTATGTGTTGGTAGGGCGGGTGGATGTGGGCTAGGCGGCTTGCTGTCTCCACAATGACACAGTACACAATACTAATACTACTCTCCTCTTTCCCCTGATGACGTCCGGAAAATGTTCGGCACCCCTTCCGCGTACTGTTTTTACACACAGGATTCCCGGGAGTTGGGTTATCGTTCGAGTTTGTTCAAAATGCCGCTCCCGCTGAAGCGCTGGCCTCATTCCTGGGATTCCACTCGTTCCGAATAGTGCTCCCGCTGCAGCGCTGCCCTCATTTCCGCGTTTCCGCTCGTTACGAATCGTGCTCCCGCTGCAGCGCTGGCCTCATTTCCGGGCTTCCGCTCGTTCCGAATCGTGCTCCCGCTGCAGCGCTGGCGTCATTAGTTCCAGTGCCATGCCACGGCATGCAATGCAATGCTATGTGTTCCGCTGTGCGATGCCATGCCTTCAGCTGCAATGCTAGGAAGTGCAGTGCTTGACTACGCAGTGCCACGCCATGCCATGCCATGCCATGCCATGCTACGCGTGGATATTCAACGCCATGCTATGCCATGTTCTGTTCTGTGCCGCTGTGCGATGCCACGATTTGCATTGCAATGCTTTGCGATGCAATTCTTCTCGCCTGTTCGCTTCCGATGGCCATCCGAGGCCTCAAGATGGCTCCAAGCTGGCCCAAGAGGGCCCCAGGAGAGACCCTAGAGAGCCCCAAGACAGCCCCAAGAGCGCTCCAAGAGCGCCCCAGGGGCGCCCCCGAGGCGACTTCTGGAGCTCCCAAAGGGGGGGGGGGGGAATAGAGAACCCTTCTTCTTTGAGAGATATCCTCCAAGATGGCCCCAAGAGCGCTCCTAAGGCTCCCAAGAGCGCCACCATATGGCTCCAGGAGGCGCCCAGACGGCCCCAAGAGGCGTCCAGGAAGCCTCCAAAAAGCTCCTAAGAGACCCCCTAAGAGGCCTCAAGAGGATGCCCGAGGCGACCACGACACTCAAAGATGGCCCTGGGCTCGCCAAGATGCCCCTCCTCCTCCTCCTCCTCCTCCTCCTCCTCCTCCTCCTCCTCCTCCTCCTCCTCCTCCTCCTCTTCCTTCTCCTCCTCCTCCTCCTCCTCCTCCTCCTTTTCCTCCTACTCATTGTCCACTGTCTCTTCCTCCTTCCTCTTCTTCGCCCTCCTCCTCCTCCTCCTCCTCCTTCTCCTCCTCCTTCTCCTCCACCATCCTCCCCCTCTTGGGGTATCGGATGGCTTCCCCCGCCTTTTGTTGTTCTACATGCTCCCCCACTTCCTTGATCACCTCACCTCCCCTCATAATCGTTTCTGGATGGGCTGGTGGGGATACTTTTCCCGTCGCGGCCGCCAGCGGAAGCACAGGCGGCCTCCGAAGTCAGCCTGGGCTACGAGCCAAACCTAATTACCCAAGCGCGCGAACTAACGGCCGCCGAAACTGCCGCCGAGGGACCCCGAGCGACGCCGGGGACTGAAGGCAGAGCTGCAAGAGGTGCCAGGTGTGCCAAGCGGCTGAAGTGCAACCATTCCGGGGGCGAGACCACCGCTGGTGGGAATACTTTTTAGTCAGCGGCCGCAGGCGAGCGCGCCAGCGGCGGGCCCAGTAGAAGCGGGGCACGCACTGGTGGGGATACTTTTTTTGTCGCGGCTGCAAGCCGAAGCGCAGGCGGCGTCCGAAGAGGTCGGGCGGGCTACGCGCGAGCCTATTTATACAGCGACAAGCAAGCAAAGGCGCGATACCGAGCGCGCGATCAGAACCTACCGCCGGGTGGGCAGCTGGCTGAAGCTGGGCTGGGGCACTGGTGAGGATACGCGAAGCGTCACCAATCTTTATGTGTGACCCCCTGGGCCCTCTTACCTTGGTGGGGTCTGGCGGGAACCAACAGCGAGGCCCCTCGCGCGCGCCGCCGAGGCTCCGACCTCGCCGGGAGAAAAAGAGAGCCCCCGCCCGGCCGCCGCCTCCCGCGACCGGAGGACCACCGAGAGCCACCGAACAGCCCCCGAACGCCGGCCGAAGACCTCGAACCGCCCCCGACCACCCCGAGCCTCGAAGTCCGTCGCTCCTGAGCCCCTCGTGCCTCGACGCCGCTCCCGAGGCGGCGGGAGGGCTGGAGAGAAACCGCCTCCCAAACGCCTCGAACCTCGGGCCCGTCGCCCCTCCCTCTCGAGCAGGGCCAGGGGAGATCCCCCAGCGAGGCCCCTCGCGGCCGCCGCCGAGGCTCGGCCCTCGCCGAGCCCAGGGGAGCCCCAGCCCCCCCCCCCCTTCCGCCGCCTTCCCCCAGGCAGCGCCTGGCCCCCAAAAGAGGCGTGCGAGCGAGCCCTGGCTGCCGCGTGAAGCCCAGACACCCTCTCGGGCATCGCCGCGCCGCCCCCTTCCACGCAGGTCGTCTTGCCAGAGTCCGCAGCCTCTCGAACCCACACACTGGGCGCTCCAAGATTTGTTCGCTGCGAGGGCGCCTGGAGCTAGAAAGACCAGTCCACGGGACTGGCCTGCCCTCTCGGTGCCCGAGAAACAGCAGGGCCGCTGAAAGAAGGAACAGCAGGACGAGGACTGACGCCCCAGTCTGCCCCAAGTGCGCCTGCGTGCACGAGGAGGGGGCTAGAGGAACAGCCAGGACAGGACCTCAGGAACCTCGAGCCCCTTCCGAACCCTGACTGAACCTTCATGTCAGCGTCTTGGCTGCAACCCACAAGCGGCCGCTCCCGTGTTTGCGGAGCCTCGGATCTCTGGGAGCCGAGGCTCGGTCCTCGCCGAGCAGCGGGCAGCCCCCGCGCCGAGCACCGGCCGGCCGGCCGGCCCACGGGGCAGGGGCGGCATGGGAGCCCGCAAAGACTCCGCACCTCGAACACACCTGCCGCTCCTCCCCCGCGCCGAAAGGGGGGGGAGGGTGAAGAAAGGGGCCCCAAAGGGCGCCTGCAGGGCCCCTGTCTCCTCCTCCTCCTCCTCCTCCTCCTCCTCCTCCTCCGCCGCCGCCGCCGCCGCCGCCGCCGCCTCCGCCTCATGCTCCTGACCCTGATCCTGCGCCTGCGCCTGCGCCTGCTCCTGCTCCTGTGCGTGGGATGAGAAGGTGGAGGGCGAGGAGGGAAAGGCCGGGGAGGACCAGCCGAAAGCTCAGAGCCTTCACAATGAAGACCTCCCTCGGTTGACACCCGCCCGACCCGCACCGAGCGCCGCCCGCCCGGCCCGGACCGCCCGCCCGAGGCGCCTCCCGCGGCGGGCGGCGGGGCAGCCCGGCCGCAGGCGCGCGGAGGCGGGGGGGGGGCCGCCATGGTCAGGCCATGGTGCGAGCCGGGGCGGCTGCGGCGAGGAAGCACGCACTAATCATTCGGGAGGCCCGCCATGTAATCCGTACGCAAGAGGCGCTGATGGGATGCCTCTCAGATAGGCGTTGCGTGGGGTGCTGAGATGGTCTGAAGGAGGAATCCGCCGTGGAGAAAACCGCTCACTCCCAGCGGCTGCGGCGAGGAAGCACTAGTCGTTACACGTAGGTGGTTGGCTTCTAGCCTTGTGTGGCTGGCTAGTGGCCCTTCTTTTTTCTTTCCTCACGCTTGATGGTGATGATGATGGTGGTGAGGAACCAACATGGGCATCCTGCGTGAGAGCGGCCTCGCGATCGAAAAGGACACTGCAAACCTATACGGCAAGTTCGTGTCGTGACTACTTCGGCGTTTGTTTCTGACACCCCGGGGCTCGCTCCATCTTGAATGATCGGCTGTGCCCAAAACGTCAGATCTTTCAACATCGACCGATTCTGGGTCGCCGGCGGCCTTCAACTTTTCACGCCCGCGGCGGGGTCGCCGCTGATCGCATGCTGATGCGTTTCGTGTGCGAACGGCAGGTAGCTTTCGCCCCCCAGGGGCTCCTCAGCCCAAATGGCACGGCACAGCAGCATTGGATTAAATGCATGGAGGGGGGGGGCCATGGTGCGAGCCGGAGCGGCTGCGGCAACTGCGACTTTGACCGAGCGCACCAAAACAGCACGACCCCCAAACCCCCTCGCGTGGTGAAAGAAAAAGCGACTGACGGTGTTCTGCGGTGTTTTGCTATTTTCGGCCTCCGAGGGTCCTCACTGGGCCGCAGCACCGTCAAACAACTACTGAGAATGAAAAACCGGTCCCAGGAAACGGATCGACGCATTTGGGGGTCGAGGTTGCGAAAAGATCATGACCGAGTGCGCGGCGAATGTGTTTGGACGTTTTTGGCATCTGGGGGCCCTCGCTGGGCCCCATGACGGCAAAAAACAAGAAACGGGGTCGAGACCTCCAGAGACCCACGTTTTGAAAGCATCGAAATCCTGGCATCACATTTTTGTCGCAGTGGGTGCCTTTTGCCCTATCTCGGGCCCTGCAATGGGGCCCTCTCGGATCGATCCAGTTGGATGAGCTAGCAGTGGTATTCTGTGCACATGTGCTTTCATCAATGTTAATAAGTGTCTGTGCCACACATGCACAACAACAAAAAACAATTAACGAAATTATACTGAAGCAAAACGGAAAACAGCAACACAAGAGACCCAAAATCAAAGAAAGTACTCGAAACAAGAAGCACGAAAAAAGGTCTGAACATGCCGCAACAAGATTGGGTCTAGGAGTCTCGGGTTCCCGTCATGAGTTCTGCGCGACGGCGCCAGATTGAACGGAGGCGCCGGCGTCGTTCTCAGAGACCGCGGGCGTCAAACGAAGGCAGGACCCAGATCTCACGCGAGTGTTCCATCTGGCCGTTTTTCCTCGGAATTTCAACCTCTGGGGCCGGTTGTCGGGCCCCAGGGCCTGCTGGGGCCAACAGAAACGGATCTGGGACGGGAAACTGCTCCCCAAAAAGGTTTCGGGACCTCTGTGCCCGCGGATCGGTAAAAAAAAATTGAAAGATGCCTGCGGAGTTGGACCGCCAGTGGATACGAAGGCAAGGTCGGGTTGAAGTCGAATCGGGACACATCGGTGATTCCTGAAATCTGGGGGGCCACGACATTCCAAGAGCGTTCTGAAAGTGCTCCAGAAGGTTCCAGCGTGCAAGTCTGCAGGTTTTCGGCAGAGGATTTGCACAAGTCTCTTAGCACAGCGTCGCGCGTGCGCCACCGATGCCTGGACAGAAAAACACACATCGTTGGAGATCTGGGTATCCACCGCGGGCCCACCCGGCACCGGCTGTAGAGCTTAAGTGAGAAGGCCAGGAAACGCTAGACGATGATATGGTGTTTCCGCTGGAGGTGCTGCTGCCCGCCGCCCCTTCCGGCGAAGAGAAGTGTCGCCAACCATCCGTGGCGTGACCTCGAAGTGGCCACATCTTCGTCGCACTGCCACGCTCAACACTGTAAGTGAACCGCACTCCCATGCCTGAGCATGGGGACATTGACGTCTTTTGCAGGCAATCCACGCCCTTGGCAGCGACCGTTGGGATTGTCAAAACGTGTCGCGTGCAGTTTGTTTCGCCTTCCCTTCGCACCCATTCCTCACCGCGCGTCCTCCCCATCCCCCCTGTCTTGCGACCCCGCCGCACATCCACGGTTACTGCGCCGTCGCGAGGCAACGTTTGAGCCTCGATTTACCGTCAGCGATTGCTGTGTGTCCCTTCCTCTATCCTCTCCTCCCTTTCCTCTCCTCTAGCCTCCGATCCCCCTCAGCGCGACTGCGAGGTGAATTTCGGCCATGTTCGCATGGTTTCTCTTCTCCCAACATCTCGATGGGACCACGCGCGGACCAGAGAAAGCTTCGAACGGTAACCGACGGAGAGATGGTGCTCCTCCTCTAACGGCGAGACTAAGTCTGGGCCAAAAGTTGGCTACAGAGGGGCAAACATGGGCTACAACTGGGCAAAGTCTGGTCGAACCTGCTCCAGCGAATCTCCGCCGCATCCTCGTCCTGCAAATTCATGAACCTGGTCGGCGCTTTCTAATGTCCCGTCGATCGACGGTCTCCAATGCTTGCTTACTGTTTGTGCAATCTCGCCACCACAGCTGTATTCCCATTCTGTTTTCGCATCCACGTCGGCCCTTCGGGGCGCGCAGGAAGGCCTAGAAAACTCCTCACAAGGCCAGAGGACTCCCGAGCCTTCTGAGAAAGCCCGCCCGCATCTCGCTTCCCCCCCGAGGCTCGCCGCCGCTGTGCGCGACCTTGCACGGGCAGCTTCCGCGCGAATGTCCGCCCATTCGTGAGCAGGGACCGACCGTCCCAGCATTCCCAAAGGCCTACCACGAATTGTTCTTAGAACCCAAACATGTTTTAATCATAAAAACAATGTTCTTAGATCATAAGCCACATGTGTTCAGACAAGACAAAAAACGGCCAAACATATCCTAAAACAATCTCTCGTGCAGGCAGACAGAAGGCTCCTAGAACATTATTTGGCGGGCCTATGGGCAAGCCGGGATGCTTCGCCACTGCTCGAATGAAGGGGCCCAGGGACACACAAATAAATACATTCAGATCCCAGGATTCCCCCTATTTCCCCATATGTTCTGGATGTTGTTCGTCCTCCCCCCCCACTTCCCATATCTTCCCACATTTTCCTGTGAGTCGACGATTACTTTGGTCTGTGTGCTCTTGTTCCCCTCCTGCTCGACTTCGATCACACCGAGGGACGCCTGCGGCACGACCGCCTGCCCGCCGCGCGCCCCGCCCGCCCCCAAGCGGGCCTGCACCGCGCGCCGCCGCCGCGGCCGCCGCCCCCCGCGCGGCGGCCTTTGGCGGGTCTCTTTCTCTCTCTCGAGCCCGGGCTGGTCCGGTAGGAGACGTTTCTTTATCCCCTGGCGGTACGCGGGCATGACCGGGGGGGGAAGGGGGGAGGGGGCCGGTCACGTCACGACTCCTCCTCCTTCTCCTTCTCTATCTCCTCCTCCTCCTCCTCCTCCTCCTCCTCCTCCTCCTCCTCCTCCTCCGGCCCTGCGGCGGGCCCGCGCCGGCGGAAGCCCCGCGGGCAGGCCGCCGACACCGCGCGGGCAAAGATCGGCGGCGAGCCTCGGAGGAGGAGGCCGAGGGGAAGGAAGCGGATGGGGAGGAGGGAGGTAAGAGGAGGAGGAGGAGGAGGAAGGAGGAGGAGGAGGAAGGAGGAGGAGGAGGAGGAGGAAACGGGAGGTGGGAGGAGGAGGGAGGAAGCGGCAGGAAGGAGCAGCTGCCGCGCTGGCTGCCTCGGGCCCGTGCCGTGACGCCTCGCGGGCAGGCTGCTGACACCGCGGGGGGGGAGGTGAGGAGGAGAAGGCCTTCTCAGGAGGCGGCGGGACTTCTCAGAAGCCCTCGCGCCTTCTGAGAAATTGTTTTTTTCTGTCTCCGGGGAAGGCTCAGAAAACTTCTCGGAAGGCAGGACGAAAATAGGACTCGGGTGAGGATGAAACGAGAATCTCTGAGATCCCGCGGCTCTGGAGGATGCCTCGAACGCCGCAACCTCCTCAAATAATGTTCCGTAGCGCTATGTTCCATAGGATTCGTAAAAAGCTCGATAGGCTTTCCGCAGGATTCCTATAGGATTCGTAGAAGGCCCTACAATTCCTATAGGACTCCTATAGGACTCCTATGAGATTCGCAGAGGCCTTATAGGATTTCCATGGGGTTCCTATCAGGATTCCTATAGGACTCGCAGAGGCCCTCTAGGATTCCTATAAGATTCCTATAAAGATAAGGATTCGTGGAGGCCCTATAGGATACTTATAAAACTCATATAGGATTCCTACAGGATTCGTAAAGGCCCTATCGGATTCCTATGGGAGTCCTATAGGATATGTAAAGGCCCTCTGGGATTCCTATCAGATTGCTATGGGAGTCCTATAGGGTTCGTAAAAGCCCTATAGGAATCCTATGAGACTCCTATAGGACTTCTATACGATTCGCAGAGGTCCTGTAGGATTCCTATAGGTTTGCTATAGCATTCCTGTAGGATTCGTAAAGGCCCTATAGGTTCATTATGGGATTCCTATGGGATTCCGATGGGCTTCCTAGAGGCCCTATAGGATTCCCAGAAAGGATTCCTAATAGGAGTCGGAGAAGCCCTATAGGATTCCTATCGGATTCCTGTAATTCGGATTCCCACAGGATTCGTAGAGGCGCTACAAGATCCCCATCGGATTCCTATAGGGTTCCCATAGGAATCAGGCCCTATAGGATTCCTATACGATTCCAATTGGACTCATATAGGATCCGTAGAGGCCCTCTAGGATCCCCATCGGAATCCGATAGGATCCTTATAGGATTCGCGGAGGCAATATAAGATTCCTCCGGGATTCCTATCGGTTTCCTGTAGGCTTCGTAGAGGCCCTAGAGGATTCCTGTGGGATTCCTATAAGATCCGTATATGATTCGTAGGAGGGCCTATAGGATTCGCACAGGATTCCTATGGGATTCCCATCGGAATCATAAAACCCTATAGGATTCCCATGGGCTTCCTGTGGGATTCCCATAGGAATCCGAAAGGCCCTCTAAGTTTCCTATAGGCTTCCTATAGGCTTCCTATAGGATTCGTAAAGACCCTATGGGATTCCCATAAGATTCCGATGGGATTCCCATAGGATTCGCAAAGGCCCTACAGGATTCCTATCAAGTCCCCATGGGGTTCCCATAGGATTCGTTGTGGGATTCCTATAGGATTCCACTAAGGTTCGCAGAGACCCTATTGGATTCCCATAGGAATCCTATAGGATTCGGGGTAACGTGCGGTGCGTTGCGTTGCGTTGCGTTGCGCCGGGGGGGGAGGGGGGGGTGGGGCAGGCGCCAGTGAGTGGTTTCGTCATCAACAACAACAACCAAAATAACAACAACAACAACAACAACAACAACAACAACAACAACAACAACAACAACAACAACAACAACAACAACAACACCAACACCAACACCAACACCAACACCAACACCACCAACAACAGCAACAACAACAACAACACCAACACCACCAACACCAACAACAACAACAACAACCACAACAATAACAGCAACAGCAACAGCAACAGCAACAGCAACAGCAACAGCAACAACAGCAACAACAACAACGTTGATACTAAAAACAACGAATTTCTTAATAGAAAACATGTTGCTTCTACCTTGAACTTATACTATTCAGTGGCATTCCTAAACCAATGCTGTCAATAACCAAGAGCTCAAACAAACAAAAACATAAATTTCCCAAACTGTTGCGAGAACTGTGGAACTGCTTGAAAACCACGATCGGCTCAACCCTCCCCGCCAAAAATTTGGTTCTTCGGCGGCCGTTCGGGACGATCCAGGCACCCCCGGAACGCCCTCGGCAAGGCGCAGCCGCTGCAAGGCACTCCAAGGGTGTAAACCGCCGATAACCGACGAAAACGTCGATAACCTTGAGCCTCGGAAGTTCTAAATGTTCCCCCCGAAACGTTGCCCCTCGGGGGTCGTCGTCCTCGTCCGAGTCGTCGTCGAAGCGCAGGCGCGACTGCAGCGCCTGCGCCACCCTCCTCTTCGTCGCCTGTGTTGTCGCAGGCTTCGTCGACCTCGTGGTCGTCGTCGTTGTAGCAGTCGCTGTCGCCGGCGTCGTAGCTGTAGTCGTCGTAGTCGTCGTTGTCGTTTTCCTCCTCCTCCTCGTCCTCCTCCTCCTCGTCCTCCTCCTCCTCCTCCTCTAAGCTTCGAGCTGCGCCTTGCAGTTCTCTGAAGAGCGGTGGCCCTCGCCCCCGCCCCTCCGCCTTTCACCAGCAGCAGAACTTCGCTGGGGGATGGGGGCGGGGGCCGTAAACGTGGGCATTACCACAGCCTAAAAGGGGGGCTTCACCGGCGAGTTGGGAGGCCAGCAAACGGGGACGACATAAGCGGACACAGCAGACGGGGAGGAGCAGCGAGAGGGAGGCGAGAAGAGGAGCAGCGGGCACGACGGGGAGGAGCGGGCGAGAGGAGGGGGAGGTCCCAGCAGCTCCCTCTGGGGGAACCAGAGGTCCCGATACTGCTACTCCAGGACCTCACCCGGGGTGCGTGCTGTCTGAGATTTCGAAACGGATCCGGCCGTGGCGACCAGGGCCTCCCCGGAGGCCCAAAGGGCGAAAACGAGGGAAGGGTACCTTTTCGTCTTTAGCAGGGACCGACCGTCCTGGCATTCCTATAGGCCTACCACGACATGTTCTTAGAACCCCCAAAATGTTCTAAGAACAAAAACAGTATTCTTAGAACATAAACTCGATGCGTTCAAAAGAAGACAATCACAGCCAGAAATGCTCTAAGAACATTTCGTGGAAACCACAAACGATTCTTAGTACATTGTTTGGTAGGCCTATAGGCACCCCAGGACGCTTCGCCACTGCTTCCTCCTCTGCGTACTGTGTGCGCAACCTTGCGCGGGCAATCTACGCGCGAAGGTCCGCCATGTCGATCGCACCGATCTGCGGCTTGCGAGGAGGGGAAGCGAGGCGGAGGCCCTCTCAAGAGCGACGGGGCTCTTCAAAGCCCTCTGGCCTGCCGAAAAGTTCTCTGCGTCTCCGGGGAAGGCCTAGACAACTTCTTGCAAGGCCCGAGGACTTCCGAGCCTTCTGAGAAGGCCCACACCTTCTCACGTCCCCCCCAGGCTTGCCGCCGATGTGCGCGACCTTGAGCATCGTCGCATCGTCGGAGCGCAGGCGCGGCGGCAGCGCCCGCGCCGCCTCCGCGCCGCCGCCAGCGGGCGGACCCGGCGGCGCCGGGGGCCCGCCGCGGCTGGCTTCGGGGTCGGACCTCGCTGGGAGGCCGCATCGCGTGGACTACGAGAGGCTCGTGTTTAGAGGCTTGTTTGCGTTGACTCCCCCCTCTGCCTCCCTTCCTCCCCCTGGAACCTGGAACCTGGTGGCGTGAGAAGTCGTCGACTGCCGCCACCCCCCGGGGCGGTCGGCCCTGGGGGGTTGATCAAACTAGACCGTTGCCACTGGCTGTAAGGAGATAGTTCTGCAAAAGTAAGCAGACATAGAGTGAAGGGAGGGAGGAAAGGAGAGACTATCAAACCCTCGAAATGACCCCCCTCCTCCTCCTCCTCCTCCGCCTCCTCCTCCTCTTCCTCCTCGTCCTTCTATTGCCTTGTTTAGCAGGCGCATTGGCCGTCAACGCTTGAAGTAAGACTTTTTCCGCATACGCGCCAGACGGCGTATGGCTAGCGCAGTGCAGTCAAATGGAGTCGGAGTACAATCAAAGTGCAAGCTAAGGATGCTAGATAAGGATGCAGTGCCCTTGGACGTCCGATGTGGATGTCTTTTGGACGTCTGGACTAGCTACGGAGGATCGAAAAGACAAGGATGAAAGGGTAGCCTTGCACGGTGCTGCACCCTTGCTATGGTGCTTTACTGTAGATGGGGTCGAAGGCTGGCACCGCATCGCCGATGCGTCGGCGATGCATCGTGGAAAGCCTTGGCGACGCGCTGGCGACGCCAGAGATGCATCGGCGCCGTCGGCATGAAGAAAATCGGGCTCCACATCGAGCAGCAGCACCAATGCATCGGCGATGCGGCGCGATCCTCCAACCCGTCTACTCCGACCCCGTCTGGGAGGCTTCCAAAAACGGCCGAAAACCCTGGGCGTGGCGACACGGGCGTTGGCTCTCGACACCGCGTGGATCCTGCCTTGAACGATCGGCGGCTTTCCCCTCCATTTCGGCCAATTCTGGGCCACTGGCGCCGTTCAGCGTTGAACGCCCGCGCTGAAGTCGCCGCCACGTCGACACGTCTCGAAATTACTCTATAATGTCGCGATGTGTCGGACAGCAACTCACGGAAGCCTTTGGTCGGCCCCATGGCGCCCAAGAGCGCGTCCAGTAGCGCGCACAGCGGACGCAACACATCTCCATCACATGGCGCTGTTGGACGCTGTTGGGCGCTACTTGAGCGCTATTCGCGACGATTGGGAGTGGAAGATACAAGACGAGCAGAACTTTCCATGACCCGCTAGCTATGAGCCAATATTTCCCATTTTCGCGATATCGCCCGTTACTGGCCCCGTCCGCCCCTCCCACCCTTGTCACGTCACGATTCGCGCTGGCGCCGTCTGGGAATGAACCATTCTTGAGCATTCCCAGGCAGCGCCGGCGCGAATCGTGACCTGATGGGCCCCATCCTCCTCCACCCCCCCGGGTCACGCCCGTTATCGCCAGGAGCCAGCAACTCCGACGGGTGTGGTTTGCAAACCGCGTGGCTTGCAACCAGCACACTGGGGGGCACCCTGGGGGGCTTGCGGGGACCTCGAGTGTTCTCCACCGCGCCTCGAAGGGGCCCAACGAGGACAGCGTCGTGCCCCCCAAGGCCCCAACGGCACGAACTGAAGTCTGGACTGCAACGGACGGAAAATCAGATGGGATACGTAAGCGATGTGGGACGCGCTCTTCAACTTGGACAGCACTCGACGCATGAACAGTTGCACAAGAAACAAACAAACTTTTCTTTTTAATGCATGCCATTCCTGGGTCTCTCCTCGAGGCAGGCTCCAGCGGGCTCCCGTGCCCGCCGCGAGGCGGGCGAGCTGCACTGGCCGACTGCTGAGTGCTGTGGTTGTCAGGGCGCGATGCTGCGGTTGATATAGCTTCTTCTTGTGCCGACGTGCATCGCTGGATGGTGGGCGCGATGCTTTGAGGGAACTCGGCGATGCCTCGTGGCTGGGAGGTCTGTCGACTCATGCAGCGCGCGTGGATCGAGCTGCAGCACGTGCTGGTCGAAGTAGGGGACTGAAGGGATGTGCCCTGTGAAATCACGATGTGGTTTAGATGCTGCACAATGTATGAATGTGAGGGCTATGTGAGCCGTAAAGAACTCAAGGGGTCCGCTCGTGGGTTGTATGTGCCCTTAACTGGTAGTAGGGCACATGGGCTCTGCGATAAATGCACATGATTATGTTGCGTCTCGAAGAAACCTCTGTAACCAATGCGGGAAAATGCAGCGCCAATGTTCTTGGCGGTGCTGTTGTCGGTTTGTCGAAGGTGCAATTGGTCGTAGTCGAAAACTTGCGAGCGTGATGCTAGATGTCGGAGTTGAGGTATTTGCCGCAGGCTGGGTGCGCTGGAATGCCATCTGGGGTTTGGATAACATGATGACAGGAGTCCTCCGGTAGCTGGCCACCTGTGAGAAAAGGAACATACGCTGCATTCGTCTGTTAAACTGTCTTTTACGTGGACGCTCCTCTGCTCCTGTGGTTGGTCAGGTGTGCCCTATAGCTTAGTAACTCCAAGATGTGCCGTAGGTGCTGTCCATGTGTCGTTGGGTGGTCTAACCATTCTGACCCGGACAAGCCTTTGAATAGCGCGATGCAACCCGGTCTCCGTAACCTCCAGTACTGCTAGGTCAACCAGCGAGCCAGCGTCGTGGCCAATACTGGTGCAGGTATATTTGCGTGTGGCACTGTTGTGCTCTAGCAGCTGGAGGTGGTTGCCGCAGCTATCAATTTTAACAAAAAAATATGTGTGCATGGTTGCTCTTCCTATCCGTGAGTGGATGGTGGACCATGCGCGGTCGGTCAAGAATCGTGGTTGGTGGTATGGGTCCTGTGATCTGCCCGCGGGCGTGTCGTTTGTATTCAGCTGGCTTCATCGCTGGAATCGTTGCTGCGTCTGCTCGTAGTCATTTGTATGTGTTGGCCCGCGCGTCTAAGTCGGTTGCTCTGTTGTAGTGTTTGCGTCGTGTCAGGTGGAACGGGGGGCATGTACTGTAGGTAATAATTGTGGCAGCGTGCTACTCTGTAACGGAAGTGCGTGAAGAGCCGTTGTCTTCTAGAGATATGCGCATCGCAGGAGTTGCAAGTGCTGCCAGCGACTGTTGGTGATGTCTCGTCTGTTTGTGGATGTTTCTGTTGTGCGATGTGTTCCTGTCCCCCACTGGTGTCGGAAGCGTGCCCACGTTCATAGCCGAAAAATGTACGAGTTGCGGTTGTGGTATAGCTGGTGCAGAATCGTCATGGTTGAAGCCTAGCTGTCGTAAATGCTGTTGCCATGTTTCTGAGCACTGCTGGTCGACGCAAGTAGTAGGAACTCAGGGCTTGACTGTTTCGAGTTGTCGTAAGTGGCGTTTGGGTACGTCGCGCGCATACTCGAGCCATCGTGCTATAGTCAAATGTCTTTGCGGATCGTCTGTTTCTGTGGTTGTGGCACCTATCGTAGGTATAAGGTTACCGCGTGGATCAAGGTAGTAGGAGTATCTGCGGTGGTGGTGGTGGCTTGTAGGTGATGCTCGCGCTTACACCCAATGAGTCGCACAAGTATGTGTGGCCCGTTAGTGAGCAATATTGCTGTACTTGAGCCGTCTTGATCGCAGTTCCAAGGCTCCCCCTCATTCCCCTCCCCCTCTCCCTCTCGTCCTATGGGGACTGACAAAAGGCAACCACTCCGACAGGAGGAAGGCTGGATGGCGGCGGCGGGGAGCGCGGGGGGGGAGGAGGGGGCAACGGAGGGAGGCAGGGAGGGAGCCCAGGAGGCAACGCATGCAGGAGGCACGCTGGGAGGCAGAGCGAGAAAGGCTGGACGGGGAGCGCAGGAAGGGCAGGGAGGGATACCACAGGAAGACAACTGCCAGACAGAAGCTGAGCACGTGTTCCGGACCCCCGACCGAGCCCACTGGCCTATGTCTCACGGCGCGCACGCGCCTCGCGTGGGCGCTCGCCCCCAGGCCGTGGAGGACGGCGGGGAGAACAGCGAAGGCAAAGAGGGGGCGGGCGACGCCGGGAGAGAGCGGGCGATGACCCCAGGACACGAAGGCGCGGGACCCACGGGTCTCACGGGTCTCACACATCCCACGAGTTCCAGGGGCCACCGGCCCCACAGGTCCTGCAGGGCACGCAGGTCCCAAAGGTCCCATAGGTCTCACGGGTCGCACAAGCCCCACAGGTCGCACACGCCCCGCGGGCCGCGCGGGCCGCACAGGTCGCACCGCACCGGTCCAGCAGGCCCCGCAGGATTCAAAGGCACCAAAGGGCACGGCAAGTCTCAACGGCCTCGCAGGTCGCATCATGCGGGGTCCTTCCGTCGGAGTAATGCTTCGAGTCTTGAACTCATCATCGCGTCAGGACATTTTCGCGGCGCGGCGTCCCAGAAACCTGGCGCGCCTTCCCAAGGGCCAGCGTGTCACCCTGCGTCGTTGTCGAAGAGCCCCGCGGGACCGCAGACTACCAAAAACCCTCCCGCCGTGACTTGTGTCGCAACGCGAGGAAGTCAGGGGCCACTGCCATACGCAACCATTCGACGAATCGGAACCGTGTGACTTGCGCAAAGGGTGCGGCTTGCAACCCGTGCACCCGGGGGGGCGGGCGACGCCTCGACAGGGCTCTCTGCGCCGCGCCCCGAGGGGATGCCCGACGAGGGCCACGTGGTGCCCCTCCAGCCCCGGCGTGAGGGGCAACGATGCGGGGGGGCTGGCACAGGCGGGGGAGCATCGACCTTGAATCGGCAACACATCGCCGACAGATCGGCGACAGGCCGCCGATGGCGAACCCGCGCGCCCCTGGGCGGGGTGGGCTATCGGGCCCCTATCGGCGATCAATGGGCGATTTGGGGGTCGATGTGTCCCACCCTGCGCCAGTCCCCTCCTCATGCTGTTCCCCGAGGTTGTTGGGCCACGCGTCGGCTGACCAGCGGTTGCTCGAGACGATCCTGGCAGCCCAGGGACACACTCGGCGAGGCGCAGCCGCTGGATAGCACCCCGAGGCTAGAAGCCTGTCGAGAACTAATAAAAATGTCTGGAACCCTCGAGCATCGATTCCGAGAAGGTCGTCTGCACCTGATATAGCTGGTCTGCCTGGTCCCCCCCTTTCGTTGCCCTGACAACGACGCAGATCGCATACCACACCCCGGCGTAACCTGAGACGAAGCCAGGATGAGGGTAAAACCAGGTGAAGACAAAATGGGAATCTCTGAGATCCAGCGGCTCTGGAGGATGTCTCGGGCGCCGCGGCCTTCTCAAACCATTCCAGAACGCTCTGAGAGCGTTCCGGAACGCCCTGGAACGGATTTCGCATCGTCCTAGCCCCGTCCGAATACACCCCTGAGACTGACAGGCCCAGAGGCGGTGACAGTCCGCGGGATGCGCCCTAAGAAACTGAGGGCATCCTCGGGATCGGCATCGGGATGCGGTGATGCCAGTCATAGGCAGACAGTTGGGGCGTTGACCTCGGGAACGATAAATCAGGAACGAGGCCCCTTTTTCCATAAGCTGAACTTCGCTTTCCCATCGAAAACCACCATCGAAAACCAAAGGACAACCCAAGACAAGCTGTAAAACAAGTAGGGAACACGGAGCCCCTCCCAGACGAAAAGGGTTCATTGTTCGGCGCCCCGACTGTAGGGCTATGTGGTCCAGGGTCTGGCACCCCCCTCGTGCTGATGCCATCGGCCCCCCCGCGCGATGGTCCCCCCCCCTGTGGGTGTGGGGTGTGGTGTGGTGGGTGCTGTGGGTGTGGCGTGCGTAGCGTGGTCCTGTGAGGCTCCAGGAGAGCTCTGGAGGTCGTCGTCGTCGCCGCCGTCGCCGTGGTCGTGGGAGAGCTCTGGAGGTCGGCGCCGCCGCTGCCGCCGCCGCCGTCGTCGGCGTCGCCGCCAACATCGTCGTCGTCGTCGTCGCCGTCGGCGACGGCGTCGTCGCCGCCGCCGTCGTCGTCGTGGTCGTCGTCGCTGTCGTCGTCGTCGTCGTCGTCGTCGTCGACGACGTCGGCGTCCCACCCCCATCCGATCAGGGGGGGGGGGGCTGGCCGTGGAGCCCTGCGACCCATCCCATCAGGGGAGGGGGGGGCGTGGGCCCGGAACCTGGGATCATACGTTCCCACACATCTGGGCGAGGCGCAGCTGCCGGCAGGCATCCCGAGGCGAGAAAAGCTCCAGCAGCCAACAGCACCTTCCGAAGACCGCACCGGTCCCAGACATCCGATGCCTTGCTTTGTTCGCTGCAGGGTCCCCAGAAGTCCCGACCCTTTCCCCAGGGTCAACTTATCCATGCCGAGCTGTTCTCGGAGAGCCCCAGGGCCCAGAGAGGGGCCCCAGGACAGGAATGGCGAGAAGCCGTCGGGCACGGCTTGCTGACGACGCGAGGGGGTACTGGTTTCAGGCTGGTCGCCATCACGTGGTCGTCGTCGTCGTCGGCGACGGCGTCGGCGTCGGCGTTGGCGGCGGCGCCAGCGTCGTCATCGGCGTCGTGGGCGTCGTCGTGGTCGTCGTCGTCGTCGTGGTCGGCGTCGTCGTCGTCGTCGGCGTCGTCAACGTCGACGTCGTCGTCGTCGTCGTCGTCGTCGTCGTGGTCGGCGTCGGCGTCGTCGGGGTCGTCGTCGGGGTCGGCGGCGCCAGCGTCGTCGTCGGCGTGGTCGGCGTCGGCGTCGTCGGCGACGCCGTCGTGGTCGTCGTCGGCGGCGTCGTCGTCGGCGGCATCGGCGCAGCCGCCGGCGGCGCCGCGAGCGGGCGGGGCCTCTGCCGACAGAGGCGACGGGCCGGGGTCGGCAGTGCGGCCAGCACCTTGTGGCGGCGACAGCGAGCGGGGCGGGGGGGCTGCGGCAGCCGCCGGCGCGGCCGCCCGACGGCGGGTGCTTGTGCCGAGGGCCAGCGCATGCATGCTGTGTGCCCATGGCTTTCCCGCTCGACATGGAAGTCTTCCGCGCCGGAGTGCCCTGCTCCTCCTGTCCTCCGCGGCCGCCCTGTCTCCCCCACTGTTCCTTCGCCTGCACGCCAGCCAATTCGCGCATCGGTTGCCCCGATCGCCGCCCGCTGGAGCAACATTTATGCCTCACCGCTGAAGTCAAAGTGTTCCATAGCTTTGCTGCGATCTGGTGCGCGCCGAGGGGGGTGCTCTGGCGCCTGCTTGGCCGGACGGTGCCATCGGCAGAGGTTGGCCAGGCCTCCGATTCCCAACGACTGTGTTCCCCAGGCGGGGCTCGACAGCTACTGCCCGACGCGGAAGGTGAGACGCTGGGAAAAAAGTGTTCGTGCCGTGGGGCAACGATGGGGGGGGGAATGGGCATGCAGTCAGACCTGATAGTAAGGATGCGCGGTAAGGATGCAAAGGCCTTGGACACACATGTCGAGGCTCTTCGAGGGGAAGGGGGCTGGCCGTCGAAAGGAGTGGGGGACGAACCGATGAGGCAAGCATGCAAGCGTACTATTGGGAAGGTTGCCCAATCTTGCTATCGTTTCGATTGTAGGGGGGATGCATCAGCCTCGAATTGCCGATACATCGCCCACGTATCGTCGATGCATCGTCGACGCAGACCGCCCCAGCATCGCCTGCGCAGCGTCGATACATCGCCGCGCGATCAACGATGCTTCGTCGATGTATCAAACATTCGATGTCGATGCATCCCCCCTACAGTAAACCCGTATCACAAGGACGCGCGATAAGGATGCAAGGGCCTTGGAAGGCCATGTCGACGCGTTGCGAGCGGGGCGTGGCAAACGAAAAAGGCCAAAGAAGGGCCGAAAGAGAAAAATGCAAGGGTAACCGTGGAAAAATCGCTCAACCTTACTATGCGGGTTGACTGTAGATGGGGTCGGAGGATCTCGCGCCGCATCGCCGATGCATCGCCGATGCACTGCGCTGGCGACGTCGGCGATGCATCGGCGGTTCGTCGGCGATACATTGGCGAAGTCGGCGATGCATCGGCGCCGTCGGCGTGGAGAGTCGGACTCCACATCGAGCCGCGTCTCTCCGAAGCATCGGCGATGATGGGCTTGTTTTCCACCACCACCATCATAAGCTGGAGGGGGGAAGGAGGAGGACGAGGAGAGAGGAGGAAGAGAAAGAGGAGGAGGAGGAGGAGGAGGAGGAGGAGGAGGAGGAGGAGGAGGAGGAGGAGGAGGAGGAGGAGGAGGGGGAGCACGAGGAGGACCCCCTCCCCCTCCAACTTATGGTGGTGGTGGTGGAAAAGAGGCCCATCAGGCGCTGCTGCGCAGTCCTCCGCCCCCGCCTGCCTGGACCCCATCCGGGAGGCGCGGAGACTTCGGCATCCCGGAGCCCCCGCCGGGCCCCGGGGTCCTCGGACAGGAAAGGCTCGGGCGGAGCGGGCCGACCCCGAGGAGAGGGTTTCACGGGGGCTCCCAGGGCAAGCAAGGGCGGCTCGAGGAGGAAGCGGCGAAGATCGAGGAGGACTGCGGAGGGGGAGAGGACGGAGGATGGAGGGCCGAGGGGGGCGCGGAGCCTCCACGATGGGCCCCAGGCGGCCAGCCGAAGTCCAAACACCCTCGAGCCTCACACGGCAAGTTCGTGCCGTGGGGACCCTGGCGGTGGATTCTGACACCGCGCAGATCGTTCAAACCATAGCCGACGGCGGCGCTCGATCGCCAGGTCGTCCCCTGCATCGAGGGCATCCACTGATCCGGGCCAATCCAGACCCAGGCCGGTCAGGCTTTTGCAGGGTCCTGCAGGGTCCTGCACCCAAGCCAGGGTAAATGCACCCATGGCTCTGCAGGATCCTGCAGGATCCGGCGCTCTGACTGCCCCCCGTTTGCACGGACCCCCCGTCTCTCTTGCGCACCGAGTGCAGGCCGACTCTCGGCCCCCGGTGGCGCTCGGCCTCGGGAGCGTCCGCGCTGGGGCCGCCGCCGCCTTCGGCAAGACGCGAGCCTGCCGTGCCCGAACGCCTTGGAGGCGGCATGGTCGGGTCCACAGCGGCCCTTCCCGGCGCTCTGCGTGCTCCGCTGGGACTCCTGGGGGGCAGGGGAGCCCAGAGTCGCATCGACAAGTCGGACCTGCGATCGACACGAATCGGATCGACGGGTATCGGCAGCCGAGTCGGGAAGAGTCGAATCGGCAGGGACATCGGCAGGCCAGTGGGTCCCCGATGAGAAATCGGATGCCAAAGCGGAATCCGCCATCGAATCTATTCGGAATCGGAATCCATCGCGATCGAAGCGAATCGAATCGGCGGCATCGAAAGGAGCCCTGGGAGGGGGCTCCTCGACGCCACCACGGCCGGCACCGGCATCGCGAGCCGAGTCGGGATGGGCCCCCATGCGGGGCCGGGGGGCCCATTCCGAGCGGGCTCGGGTCGATGCGCTCGGCGCGCTCGGCCAGGGCCCCCCCCCCCGATGCCACGCCAACGAGGGCGGCACGCCGGCGGTCTCTCGGCGACGCTCTTGGCCGCACTGTAGTGGGCCTGTTTTCCAACACCACCACCACCACCATAAATTGGAGGGGGAGGGGTCCTCCTCCTCCTCCTCCTCCTCCTCCTCCTCCTCCTCCTCCTTCTCCTTCTCCTCCTCCTCCTCCTTCTCCTTCTCCTCCTCCTCCCCCTCCAGCTTATGGTGGTGGTGGAAAAGGGGGTCCTCCTCCTCCTCCTCCTCCTCCTCCTCCTCCTCCTCCTCCTCCTCCTCCTCCTTCTCCTTCTCCTTCTCTTCCTCCTCCCCCTCCAGTTTATGGTGGTGGTGGAAAAGGGGTCCTCCTCCTCCTCCTCCTCCTCCTCCTCCTCCTCCTCCTCCTCCTTCTCCTTCCCTTCCTCCTCCCCCTCCAGCTTATGGTGGTGGTGGAAAAGGGGTCCTCCTCCTCCTCCTCTTCCTCCTCCTCCTCCTCCTCCTCCTTCTCTTCCTCCTCCCCCTCCAGCTTATGGTGGTGGTGGAAAACAGGCCATCAGAACTGCGGCGCTGCTCCGCCGCGGGGCGGCCGTGAGCTGCGCCGGGTGGGGAGCGAAGGGGCGCTCTGCTGGCCACGGCATGCCTCGGCCACGAGCGGGGCCCCCGGCCCAGAGCTGGGGCGCGGCCCAGAGGCCCAGAGCTGGGGCGCGGCCCAGAGGCCCGGGCCCCTCCTGAGGCCGAAGCGGCCGCTGTTTTTCAGCGTCGTCGCCGTATCCCATACATGCGGCCACGGGCCCGATGTTGCCCGTCCGCCATCGGCAGCGCGTGGCGGTCCTTCGGCGGCAATGTGCCGCACTTGGGCGGTGGCCGGCGGCCTGTGGTTGCAGTCGCTGGTTTTTCGGCGGCATGTTGGCGGTTTTCCGACCGACAGCTGGATGGTCAAAAAATCCGCCGACCCCGTGAGGTTCTTCCCCCCCATTAACCCCCCCAAGAGATTCCAAACTGGCATGTTGACCCCCCCCACTCTCGCCCGGTACGAATGCACCGCACCCATGCTTGGGACGAACGAAACCCCAAGCGGTTCTCAAGGCGGTTCAAGAGAGCTCGGAGTCCTTGAAAAGTAGCTCCAAGACACCCAAGATAGCTTCCAGACGGTCCCAGATGCCCCATAGACGCTCCTGACAGCCTCCATAAGGCCTCCGAAAATGGCCCCAAGAGGCAAAAGTTTGCCCAGCTCCTTTCGGGAAACGTATATTTGTCGCATAAACGGCGTTTACGGCCCAGATGAGGGCCCAAGAGGTTCCATTGAGGCCCAGCAGAGGCTCACAAACAGCTTCCAGGTGGCCTGAACACCAGACAGCTTGGACGCGTTTCAGGGAGGCTCTAAAGACGGTCCCCTGAAGGCATCTTAAAAGCCAGATGCAACTTCGACAAATCCGCAGAGCAGTGCCTTGAGCCCGCGCTGGCGTGGACGCCAAGCCAGGGCGGCGGAAGCTTCGCAGAGGCGGCGCGAACCCGCGCGCGCGGGAGCGCGCACGCGGGAGGAGGACGAGGAGGAGGAGCGAGGACCGAGGAGGGAGGATGTAGGATGAGGGAGAGAGGAGAGAGGAAGGAGGGAGGAGGGAGGAGGAGGGACGGGGAGGGGGGCGAGGAGGAAGATGAGGAAGAGGAGGAAAAGTAGGAAAAGGAGGAAAAGGAGGAAGGACTCCCTCCCATCCTTCCCCTCCTCCCTCCTCCCTCCTCCTCCTCCATCCCCCTCCGCCTCCCCTGCCCCTCCTCGAACTGGGCTAATTTCAACGAGTTCCACTCCAGATCGATCCCTGGGCCCCTGCACCCACTATGCTGCCCCCCCCCAGCAGCCTCGAAAGTGGCGACGGTTTCGCAGATCACACACCCCCAGGGATTTGGCGACACTGTGCTGGCCCCCAACAGCACCCGAATGTGGCAACAACTTCGCAGGTCGCAGCCCACCCCAGGGGCGGCGAGGTCTAATCTGAATATGCGGCGAGTACACACTACGTTGCCCCCCAGCAGCCCTCGAATATGGCGACGGTTTCGCAGAACGCGGCACCCAAGGGATGGCGAGGTCTAATTTGAATATGCGGCGAGTACACTATGCTGCCACCCCAGCAGCCCTCGAAAGGGCGACGGTGTCGCAGATCGTAGCCCCCCCAGGAACGGCGAGGTCTAATCTGAATCTGCGGCGAGTGGCCACTATGCTGCCCCCCCCCCTGCAGCCTTCGAAAGTGGCGACGGTTTCACAGATCGCACCCCCCCGACGGGTGGCGAGGTCTAATATGAATTTGCGGCGAGTGCCCACTATGCTAGCCCCCCAGCAGCCCTCGGAAGTGGCTACGGTTTCACAGATCGTAGACCCCCAGGAACGGCGCGGCCTAATCTGAATCTGCGGCGAGTGCCCCCTATGCTGCACTCCGGGGCAGCCCTCGAACGTGGCGACGGTTTCGCAGATCGAAGCCCCCAGGGGTCGCGAAGTCTACTCTGAATATGCGGCGATTGCACACGATGTTGCCCCTTCAGCAGCCCTCGAATGTGGCGACGGCTTCGCAGATTGCGGCCCCCCCGGGATGGCGAGGTCGAATCTGAATCCGCGTTTGGCGACACTGTGTTGCCCACCCAGCAACACCCGAATGTGGCAACAGCCCCGCGGATCGCAGCCACCCCAGGGGCGGCGAGGTCTAATCTGAATATGCGGCGAATACACACTATGCTGCCCCCCAGCAACCCTCGAATGTGGCGACAGTTTCGCAGATCGTAGCCCCAAGGAACGGCGAGATCAAATCTGAATCTGCGGCGAATACCCACTATGCTGCCCCCCCAGAAGCCCTCGAAATTGGCGACGGCGTCGCAGAACGTAACCCCCCAGGAACGGTGAGATCTAGTCTGAATCTGCGGCGAATGCCCACTATGCTGCACTCCAAGTAAACCTCGAACGTGGCGACGGTTTCGCAGAACGGAACCCCCCTGGGGCGGCGAGGTCGAATCCGAATCTGCGGCGAGTACACACGATGCTGTCCCCACAGCAGGCCTCGAACGTGGCGACGGTTTCGCAGACCGCAACCCCCCAGGGGTGACAAGGTCTAATCTGAACCTGCAGCGAGTACACACTGTACTGGCGCCCCAACAGCCCTCGAACGTGGCGACGTTTTCGCAGATCGTAGCCCCCCTGGAGCGGCGAGGTCAGAGGCAGGTGCGAGAGAGGTGCGAAACAACAGGAAAGAGAGAGAGAGAGAGAGAGAACGAAAACAAACAAAGAGAGGAAGAGGAAGGAGGGAAGTGGGAAGGAGGAAATAGGGAGACTTGACCATTGTGTTTTCTTCACAACGAGAACCCAAACCAAGAAGGGGTCTGGTAAAAAGAAGGCGGGCGGTCCTGACGCACAAGTGCAATGTTCCACGAATGCATCCCCCGCGCGAGACCCAAAAGACGGCCCCAGGACAGCCTGGGAGGGCATCAGTAAGGCCCAACAGGCACCCATAACAGCACAGAGAGCCCCTACAACCCTCGTCAAAATTAACCTCAAAAATGTCTGACGTGGTTGAACTGCTTGTCGGGAGATCTGGGGCCGAGTATCGATGAGCGCGGGGTACTTGCATGCGCCGCCCCTCCAATGTCGGTCGACGTCAAACTTTCGAGTCAACTTCGGTCAGACTATCTTTGCCCTCGCCCCGACATTGAAGGGGCGGCGTGTCGACATTGAGGGGCGCGCCGAAATCGAAATGACGTGCCCGCAACTTTTGAGGTTAATTTTGACGAGGGTAGTAGACAGCCCCCAGAAGGGGCCCGAGAGCGGTAGCCCGAACCGAAAATCCATGCTCTGCGTTCCTGCAACGCTCTGGTGGGCCCCAAGAAACCCTCCAGAGGCCCCAACTCAGAAAAGCGGCCTGGGTGAGGGCCCTGATGAGGGCCCCATACACGACTCCACGAATGCATCCTCATCACGTTCCCGTGCGATCCCAAGCCGAACCAAACCCGGACACGCCAACCAAAAAAACGCCCGCCGTGCTGTCGAACCACGGCAAGGGGGGCCGGCGCGGGGGCCGCGGCGCGCGGACCTCCGGCGGCGGCCAAACTCTGGCGGCGGCCGCTCGGGAGGGCGAGGCTGCTGGGACGCACGAGGACATGTCAGCACCAGGCTTCCGCCTGGGACACACGCGTCCGACCTGACCACGTAGAATACTCAGGGTCGGTTAATCATCGCCCCCCCCCCTTGGATTGCCCAGGGGGGTTGGCCGCGGCGCGTCCGCGGGGGCGCCAAGGGGGGGTCTGGGGTTCGATCCCTTCCCCGCTGGGGCGCGGGGGTGGTGCCAGAAGGGTTGACCGCGCCGCGTTTTCATGTTTGTCACCCCCTGGCTGATGAATAAGAAGTTCGGAATAACCATATTGTAGCACTTCGTTTCCCGAGCGGCATGGCCAGAAAACGCCCGCCACGGAATGCATGCCTTATGGTGTAAGACTTCCTGGAGCGAGCGAGACCCTTAGGGAGGGGGGGGAGGGGGGGGGCGACGCGTTAGGATGTCAGGGTGGCGCCGAACGAAAACTTCCGATGGCGGCGAGAACTCCCCAGGACGAGCAGCGGCACATCGGCGACCCTGAAAGATCTTTAGAACCCCACCCAGCAGGGCGTAACAAAGTCTCTCGGCGGCATTGTTGAAGGACTGGGCCCCAACAAGGGGTAACTACAGATTTCGTTCCGCGGCGCCCGCCGCGCAACAACGAGGGGGAGGAGGGGGAGCAGGAGGAGGAGGAGGATGATTGTCACGGATGTACCCTTAGGCCGCGGGCCGGGCTCACACACCTCAGCCCCTAGGGGAGCGGGGTCTGGCCGATGCGAGAAACCTGCCGCGCGGCCTAAAGCGGGGGGCGGAAGACAGCAATGAGATTGAGGTGCTTAGTGAGGAACACCACCGGTCGATGCTCCACCTCTATATCGCCTTCTCTGTCCACCGCCCCCTCCTCACCCAATGCCCTCTGGTGATCTGGCCAAATCCGGGCTCCTACAGGGTGGCATCCCAAGTCGGGGAAGCGAACTTGCCTCCGCAGTGGTCCGCACACATACTGAATCTGTAGCCGTGCACTGCCCAGCGGTTCCCCTCAGGGGAGCAATCGGACCCCTAATTAATCCGCGCGCCTGCCTGCCGCTGAATTTGAGCTCCAAATACGGCCAAAACAGCCTCAGTGCACCGGTGAGCTGCCCAACTCACCGGTGTTCTCTCCAGGCACGGCCGAAAGCCACCCTCTCGGGCGAGCTCCCGATGTAGAAGCCCTCGTGCACGTCGTCGCTCTCGCTGTCGCTCTCCTCGGTGAAGGGCGCGAGCCGACGATCGCGCTGGCGTTGACGTGCGGCTTCCCGTCTGTCATTTGCGCAATGACCTCGCACGTTCTTGAGAATACGGGTGCCCAGCCGCATCGGCGGCGCCGTGGCCGTCAGCATGCAGCTAGGCGGCCGCCGCTCTGCCCCCTCGAAGTGATGAACAAGTCACGGCTGGCACCAGCACAGCGCAGAGTGGCGCGTCCCGCGAGGACTCCTGCATGTCCTCCGAGAGCCGTCCGGGAGCGTGGTTGCCATAGCTTGGCCACGGCTGGCCTCAACCATGGCACTCCAGGACGACTCGTCGAGGGCCTCGGCGATGGCCCCCTCATCGCTCCCATCCGAGGAAAATGTCTCGGGCGGAGCGGCGTCTGATCCCAGGCGTCGATGGCAGCAGCCACCTCATCGCCCTCATCCGAGGACAGCGCCTCGGGCGGGGCGGAAGCGGGATTCCAGGCTTCGAAGGCAACGGGCGCCAACTCATCCAGGAGCACATCTGCTTCGCAAGGGCCTCCTCGACAATGATGGGCACCAACACCAACGAAGAATGTCGGCGCAAACAGACATCAACACCACCTATAAAACGGAATGGGATCGGAAGGCGGAACACGACCCTCGGCGACCCGCTTCCCACGACCACCACCTCCGAACGTGGCAGGCTCCGCGACGCAGATCTCCACGGAGATGTCCAAGTTCGTCGCGTCTCCAAGCCGCCCCTCCGTGAACTGGCGGCCTTCCACGCGGTCGCTCTTCTGCAGGCGGCGCAAGTCCTCGCATGGCGCCGTAGCGGGGCATCCGCATGCAGCGCCACGCTGGGCCGTAGCACCTCCTCGGCCGAAGGCGCCAGGAGGAGGAGGAGGCGGAGGAGGCGGAGAAGGAGGAGGAGGAGGAGGAGGAGGAGGAGGAGCGGAGGAGGGAGGAGGGAGGAGGGAGGAGGGAGGAGGAGGATGAGGAGGGGGAGGAGGAGGAAGAGGATGAGGAGGAGGAGGAGGAACAGAAGGAGGCGTTCGGACCAGTCCGATTCACCGCCGGGAGAAATTGGGAGCGCCAAAACGAAAGACCTTTAGCGGCTACCTCTTCCTCCTCCGGGTCTTGGGCACTCCGAATTCAAGCGGTCCCCCCGATCCGAGGCAGCGGGGAGCAACCGGGGCAGCCCAAGCCGCGAGCGCGCGCGCGGCACCCGCTGGTCGTGCGATGGTGGCCCTTCTCCTCGCTGGGCAGGCGGGGCGTCTGCCTGCCCCGCGGGAGGGGGGAAAGGAGGAGCAGGAGGACGAGGACGAGGAGGAGGACGAGGAGGAGGATCCAAACCCCACTGGTCGGAGGAGTCCGCAACGCCGAGAGCCACCCAGGGCACCGTGCCTGCCTCTTTCCATGTCTCGCTCCTGCTCAGCCTGCCGTAGCCACCAGCGTCCTCAGCTCCTACCTCTGGGGGGTCACAGGTGTGGGGGGGGTACTAGGGCGGGCCACGGAACAGCGCACCGACGCTGGCCGCCCAGGCGATGGCCGGCGCAACACGCCGCCGCCCTGGACGGCGCAAACCTCCCCCACGCCCGGTGGAAACCCTAGAGGTGATCACCAGTCCTTAGCTCGGGAGCCCTACGCCTGCTTGCAGGCGAGCGTCCCCGTCGTAGGACTGGTGGATGCCTACTGGGGACTCCGACCTGCAAGGAGAGAGGCCTTTGCGCATTCCGCTTTGGCGAGCGTGGCCACCTGCCACACTGCCACACGCCGCCCGCCACCCCTTTATCGCCTAGCGGGCTTCTGCTAGATAATGGTAGGCATTCGAGGGAGATGGAAGGACGAGAGCTGGCTGCCCTGGAGATGGCCAGGGCGGCTGCTAGCACCACCGCCACCGCTACACGGCCGCCGCCGCAGAAGGAACAAACTTCCCCCACACCCCGTGAAAACCCCACGGCGGCCACCAGTCCCTACAGCAGAACCCTACGCCTGCCTCGGCGGGTGAGGGAGGGACTGTGGGCCGTCGTTTGGGGCTTCCTATGGGTAGGGGGAGGGGCCCGTGTGCCTTCCACTGTGGCGGGTGTGGCCAGGCCACGCTCCTTGACGCACTGCCACCGCCAACAGCGCCGCCTCACAACGCCACGCCGCACGCCGTCACGCCACCACTATTTCCTCTCTCACGTACTCCCTGCTTCGAGGTTATGATTGCTTAGTGTCCCCCTTTACCCGTCCTTCTTCGTCTGCTGTCGTTACCTGTTATAACTATTCCTCACCCAGCCGGTGGGAAAACCATATGGCTCACTAGTTTGATCACCCCCCCAGGGCCGACAGGCCCTGGGGGGGAGGGCAAGGTTCGACGAACTCTCTTGCCTTCAGTGCTTCAGTGCTCCAGGAGGATCGAGGAGGATTAGGAGGTAACTCCTGGGAAGTCTTCGTACATATTGAAGTCGTAAGGGCTATTGAGATATATCCAATGCGCCACCAACGCCGTTCGGAACGATCTGAGCCCCCCCGAACGCCCTCGGGGCGATGCGCAGCTGCTAGAGCACATCTCGAAGCTAGAGAACCGTGGGGAGCTAACGAAAATGCCCGAGCACCTCGAAGCTCGACTCCGATCCCGCCCTGACGTTACCTCTGACTCCTTCATGGCAGCCAGCCCCCCCCCCCCCACAAACACTCGGAAATGAACGCACTGAAGCTTTTTGTCGTCCCCGTGGCGCCCAAGAGCGCGTCCAGTGGCGCGCAAAGCGGACGTAACGCATCTCCCTCACATGGCGCTATCCTATGCTATTGGGCGTGATCTGAACGCTGTTCGGCGCTCATGGGCGCGGTGCGCGCGCTAGTGGGCGCTGTTCGGTGCCATACATTCCATCAAAGACGAGCGGAAGCTTGCTTGCGTGCCTTACTACCTGACAGCCCGCCCCCTCACCCTCCTCCTCCTCCTCCTCCTCCTCCTCCTCCTTCTCCTCCTCCTCCTCCTCCTCCTCCTCCAATCCTCGTCCTCCTCCTCCTCCTCCTCCTCCTCCTCCTCCTCCTCCTCTTCCGCTTCCTCCTCCTCCGTAATCTCCTCCTCCTCCTCCCTCCTCCTCCTCTCCTAGTCCTCCTCCTCCTCCTCCTCCTCCTCCTCCTCCTCCTCCTAGTCCTCCTCCTCCTCCTCATCCTCCTCCCCCTCCTCCTCCTCCTCCTCCTCCTCCTCCTCCTCCTTCCCCCCCTCCTCCTGCTCCTCCGCCTCCTCCTCCTGTTCCCCCATCGTCGTGACCATCGCCTCCGGGTGGCGCGCCTCGCCCTTCAGCGCCTCCCGCGGCTCCTGGCACACCGCGCTCGTCAGGCACCGCAGCTCGGCTGCCCGGCGGCCCCCCCGCCGCCGCCGCCGCGGTGGCCGCCGCCGACGTTGCCGACGTCAGCGTCGACGACGGCGCCGACGCCAACGCTGTCGCCGCCGCCGTCGCCACCCATCGTCGCCACCGACCGTCGCCGCCGACGCCGTCGACGTCGACCTCGACGTCAGCGTCGACAACGGCGCGATCGCCAACGTTACCGCCGCCGCCGTCGCCAACGACGACGGCGACGCCGCCGACGCAGTCAGCGTCTTCGTGGTCGGCGTTGTCGAGGGCCGGGGGATCGCGGCTCAGCGGTCGGGAACTCAGGGTTCGGGACGCTTCTGACCCAAGGGGGTCTCCAGAGTACAGGGGCCGATGTCGTCGTCGGCGTCGTCACGTCGTCGCCGTCGAGGTTCGAAACGGTTTCTCCAGTTTCAGCGTCTGGGGAGCCGCTTCCAGTCCCGGGGGCCAGTTCAAACCCTGCGGCCACTGGAAATTGACTCGGATATGAACCCCCTGAGAGACGTCGTCGTCAACAAGCACCCAGACATCCGATGTCACGATTTTTATCACAACGTGGTCCCCGCATGGATTGTCCCCTGCCCAGGGACCAGCTTTTGATTTCGAGTCGTTGTTGTTGACGGTCCCAGGACTCGGCGAAGGCCCCCAGACGTCGAAATCGACGTCCCAGGACGGCGAAGGCCCCCAGTCGGCGAAGAAACGCGGACCGCCCAAGAATTTTCGACAGAACGCGGTCCCATGGTCGTTGGCCGCTGTCGTCTTCGGTGGCGGGGTCCATTGCCACCATCGCCACCAAGTGTGCCAGTACGGTTACGATCGATGCGATGGACTCGTGTAACTATTCAGGCCCAACAAAAGCACGCAGCAAGCATCAAAAACATCACTCCCCCATATCTGATGGGAAGTAAGATCGGCGGCGAGCCCAAGGGGGAAATGGTAAGGTTGGGGCTTCTCGGAAGGCTCAGAAGTCCCTTCAGCCTTCTGAAAAGTTTCTAAGCCTGTCCCGAAGACACAGAAAACAACTCAGTTTCTGAGAACTCCCAGCGCGTCCTGAGAAGGCCGGTTCCTTCTCACGTCACCCCCCTCGCTCGCCGCCGACAAGAGGTAGATACCAATACCGCGACTCCCTGGACCTGTTCTGGGGTACGTTCCGACCAGGATTTCGACGCGTATCCTGGACCTTGGTGACGAGAGAAGCAGCAAAAGGAGGAGGAGGAGGAGGAGGAGGAGGAGGAGGAGGGAGGACGGAAGAGGAGGACCAGTGCAAACCCAAGCCTCATCAACGATGTTGGGATAACTCCTCCCTCCAAGCTCCCTCTTCATAGGACGCATACAAAGATACATGCCCTCTGAGGCAAAAGCCCCGTTGGGAGACAACCGTTTGAAGACCCTGAAGCGTGCCAGTACACCATTTTCGGGACTCCAACGCCACGAATCAGGGTGACTGTTGCGTCTTGACGATCCTGAATCGTGCCAAAACACGACTCCCAAAATGTCACCACCGCGAAGCAACGTAACTGTTGTGCCCAGAAAAAAATCTGAATCGCTCCACGACACGATTCTAGCACGCTGACCATGGTAATCCGTAGAATTCGGAATTCGGCATGAAGGCGAGAACCACATGTCCAAAACGAAACGCACTCAATCCGTGAAAGGTTTGCAACTGTTGTTTAACGCGTGTGCGCGGCGCTCGAGCGACACCCACATGTTGAAAACCACCCGCCCTCCGTCCGTGAAGCTCCTGCAGCTTGATAGAACGACTGCGCGCGGCGCTCCGGCGAGAGCCACATTTTGAAAACCACACGCCGTCAATCCACGAAGCTCTTTTGTTCACCGAATGTACGGGGCGCTCGTGCGAGAGCCACATTTTGAAAACGACCCACCCTCACTTCGTGAGAATCTTGCACTTGTTGAAACCGAATGTGCGCGGCGCTAAAACGAAAACCACATTATGGAAACGACCCGCCCACCATCCGTGAAACTGTTGCAATTTTGAAAGGACGAATGTGCGCGGACCTCAGGCAAGAGGCACACTTTGAAAACAACCCGCCCTCCATCCGTAAAACCACGATTTCGAGTTCGGGGTCACTCATGGTGAGGACGTCTCAAGCGAAACGCCCGTCCCGCACTTTCGACCGGCCTCGGGGCGCGACAGGGAGTTTTCTTTCGTTTGCAAAGCTAGTTTTTATATAAAGAGGACCAGGGACGCAGCGAATCCAGAACCTTGGAGACGAGCAACGAGCAGCTGTGTGGGTATACATCCTTCCCCCGATCCCCGTCCCGCGGCCCCAGATCCCCCGCCCCGCCACCAAGGGACAAGCAGCCCAGAACGCGCGCGCACTGGCCACCACCATTCGCGGTGACATGTCAACCGGCCAGGGTCTTTTGAACCCCCCCCCTCCCGACAGTGAAGGAGGAGGAGGAGGAGGAGGAGGAGGAGGAGGAGGAGGAGGAGGAGGAGGAGAAGAGGAGACGGGGGGGAGGTGGAACCCTTTTTACGTCCCAGAGCAAGAGGGGCAATCCGCACGCGCGTCCGAGCGACGCGGGGGCGCGGAGTCCCGAACCAGCCAGCGCGCAAGAGGGGAGGGCAAGAGGAACGGCGGCCGCAGGCGGGGCGCGAGCGAGGGGGCGCACTCCCGCAGCGGGGTCCGCAGTGGGGGGCGCAGGGGCGCGGCCAGGCTGAGGCCCAAGCTGGCAGCGGCTGCGGGGCGGCTTCGCGGCGCACCCAGGGGGGGGGGAAGCCAGCAGCCACAGAGCGGGCACGACCCAGCAAAGGAGAGGTGAGACCCAACATCTCCGAGAGCGCATAGACCAGTCAGCAGCACACCAGACAGCAAGCGTGAGGGAGAGCGCTGAGACCTACAAAACTTAGTACCCGACTGATGTGTGTTGGCCGGTCAGAGCGTCCATGAAGAGCGCCAAACACAAAACGCGAGCCCGACATATCCGGAACAAATGCGGCGCTGAGAAAACAAACACAACTCGGAGGTCCGGGGCCCCAAACGTCCGTGGGCGCCCGATTTTTCTCCGGGATGGCTACGGTCTGGGGTAACTCCAGAGTTGGCTGAGGCGCGGACCCGCAGCTACCCCTGGCCGCCCCCAGCCCTGATGATTCGGGAGGGTTGGACGCCCGAGTTATCCAGACCTCCGTGCGGGGTAACTGCTGCTTGGGTCCCCCCAAGGCGCGAGTCTGCAGCTAGCCCTGACCAACCCCCTAACCCCGACTTCCCCGCCCGAAGACCTGGCTTGCCCCTCCCGAACTCCCTAGCAAATCTCTCGCGGGGTGCGCTCCGACCGGGACTGCCACCACGAGTCCAGCCGTAGCGACAACGGCCCTCGAGGAGGCCCCCAAAGATGAAAGAGAACGGGCGAGGCAAGGTCGGCGGCGAGCGAGGGGGGGAGTGAGAAGGAGAAGACCTTCCCATAAGGCGGCGCGGCGTCTCAGAAGCCCTCTGGCGTTCGGAGGCGTTCTCGGTGTCTTCGGGGAAGGCTCAGAAAACTTCTCAGAAGACCAGAGGGACTTCCAAGCCTTACGAGAAGGCCCGCCTCTTCTCTTTGGACGCCCGAAACGGTGAGCACGATGCCCAGCAACACATGTTGTCCAAAACCGACAACGGCCGCGGGCTGTTGGGCAGGCGGCCTCCTGTCTCAAATGGACAACGGCCGCGGCCTCGCTAACAGCGAACCCTGTTCAGAATGAACAGGAGTTGCTGTTGGACTTTGTACCCATTGTTTCTGTACCTGTTTCGAAAGCCCCGATTCTCGCTCCCCCCCGGGGTCGCCGCCAGGAAAGGTCACCAGCGGCATCGGCAATACTACAAATCTCTCCTTGCGAGCAGGGAGCAGGCCGTCCCGGCATCCCCATAGGCCCGGCACGACATGGTCGAAGAAACGAATGCTCGAAGACCAAAACCAATCTTCGCATACGAGAAGGCCTATGCATAACAACAAGACTGCCTCAGCCATAAAACGGTCTGCTGACACGTCGCGCAAACCACGAACGGCCATTCGAACAACGCCCCGTGAGGCCATAAGGCAGGTTAAGACGCTTCGCCACCACTTGAGTCTGCATGTGGCATGTTACTCCCTTTCCTCTCTAAACCCCACCCCGCGACGCCTGGCGGCGGCGGCGCTACGCCCAAGGAGCCGCCGAGCCGTCTGCGCCACTTCTCCTGGCGGGCCCGCGACCGCCCCCGCGCCCCCCCCCAGCGGGCTGGACCACACGTCCGAGGGCGCCGCGGAGCGTCACGCCGCTGCGCGTCAGGGGGGTGTGCAGAGACCGAAACCGTGATCGAAAATCTGCCCGAGTGTTCCCGACACCAGCGCCCAAAGTTTCCCGAACGCGCCAGAGTGTGACCGAAGGCCGTGGTTCGATGACAAAGGATGTTCAATTTCGGCCAAACTTCGATCACCGCATTCGGTCACCGATCTCGTCCAGTCGCGTACCTGTTCGGCTGAGAGGCGGGACGCCAGAGGACGCCAGAGCGCGAAGGACACCCAAAGAGCCCTGGCGCACTGGGAAGCAACCATTCAAAAACGGAATTCTATAGCCGTTCTTCGGACTCAGCGGGGCCCTCGCAGAGCCTCGCTGGGCCAACAAAACTTTGTTCGGGACAGCAAGCCGGCCTCTGTCGGGCGTTCGTCAACGGGGGGAGATAAGCGGGGCTAGGGTGAAGAAGCCTGCACCTTTCCAGCATCTTTCAGGCACGCGGTGGCAGTTCAGAGGCAGTTCAGCAGCTGCCTAGGGCAACTTTCTTGCAATCCTCGATCCTCCAGACTCCAGAGGGAAAGAAAGCGTCGGGACTGCCACAGGCCCCGCACTGACAAGCACAATGCACGCCAGATTTCTGGGGGGGAGAAGCGGTGCGCGCATGGCTGCTGCTCCTGCTGCGCCCTTGGTCAGGATCCATGAATAGTCAACGAGGAGGGCGTTGGGAGTGTGCCCCCACCCCTCCCGAGTGAAGAGGAATCAACGTTAAGTCGGGCCTGTCCCCCTACAGGCCGATTTTGGACAAAAAAATAAAACAACTACAACAAAAAATCCCCCCCCAAAAAAAAACCTGACGTACTCAAAAATGAATGTTTGTTTGACCCCCTCAAAAAAAAACTCCCAGACAATATGTTATGCTAGTTTTCAATTTTCCTCCTGTAGAGGGACACGCCCGATTCAAAATCAACGGCCCATGAGTCATGAACATATCGGAGGTCCGCGCGGCGCTCTTGAGTCTGCGCCGGGACCTCCCCCCAAGGGGCGGCGCTGGAGGCACCGCCATTGGGGGGGCGTCCGGCGCCGGCTTGGCAATCCGAGCGGAGCGCTCCGGCAGTTTGCCCTTCCTGGAGAGGGGGCCTCCGCTTGAGCAGGGACCGACCGTCCCGGCATTCCCATATCTATATATATATATATATATAGATAGTCCTACCACGAAATGTTCTAAGAACCCACAAATGTTCTAAGAACACAAACAATGTTGTTAAAACAAGACAGTCCCAGCCAGAAATGTTCTAAGAACATTTCGTGGAAACCACAAACGCTTCTTAGAACATTGTCTGGCGGGCCTATAGGCGAGCCAGGACGCTTCGCCACTGCTTGACGAGCGGGGCTGGCTGGCCACACGGCAGGCAGCCCGCGGGCGCCTCCGCGGCGCCGGCTGCGTCCGCCTGGCCAAGCCTGCTCACACCGCAGCTCCTGGGTCCGATCTGGGCGGAAGGCCGCAGGATTGGGCGGCGCCCCGCACGGGGCGGCGGATGGGGAGGAGGAGGAGGAGGAGGAGGAGGAGGAGGAGGAGGAGGAGGAGGAGGAGGAGAATTGGGATGCGGGGCGGGATTCTGAGAGGAGGAGAATTGGGATGCGGGGCGGGGCGTCTGCGTGTTCAGGGGGGGGGGTTAGAAGCCCGCCGCGGGCAGCCCTCTCAGAAGACTCCGAGGCCCTTCTAACCCAGACCCCCGACGTCATGACCTTGTCATAACGCCGACCCCGGGACCGGCTTTCTATCCTGAATCGTTGTTTGACGGTCCCGAGGGCAGGTCGGGGCCCCCAAAGGCGGAAAATTCTACGGAAAAACCTCCCGCCGAGAGTTCTTCATGACCCGAGGGGGGTCCCGGGAAGAAGGCCCGCGCCTTCGAAGACAGCTCCTGCGCCTTCTCGGGAGGCCCACGCTGCCCCCCCACCCCCCGCGACTCCCTTGCGGGGCGCCGCCGAGGATCGGACCGCGCCCCGCATCTCAGCGCGCAGAGCCTGGCGGCGACCCGTTCGTGCTCGGGGCATCGCGGCTCGGGCACAGCGCCCGCAGGCCTGCAGAGGCAAAAAAAAAATCCCACTCAATGAACTCGCCTGAAGGTTCGCTCGCCTTACGGGGACGACCGCAGCATCTCACGAGTCACCCGTGCACTCCGTGGCGATACGCGGCAGAGATTGACCAGTGGCTACAGGCCTGCAGAAGTAACATCGGCCCGTGCCCGACCAGTTGGGACCGAGCTCGGAGTCGAAGGCAATGGCGGTTGGACCGCACCGGACCAAACCGAGAGGTCAGATTTGAGCAGGGACCGACCGTCCTGGCATTCCTTTAGGCCTACCACGACATGTTCTTAGAACCCAAACATGTTCGAAGAACAGAAACAATGTTCTTAGAACATGAACCCGATGTGTTAAAACAAGACGGTCCCAGCCAGGAATGTTATGAGAACATCTCACGGGAACCACACACGGCTCTTAGAACATTGTCTGGTAGGCCCATAGGCGAGCCAGGACGCTTCGCCACTGCTTGACAGGCTGGGGCCGCATCGAGGCGTCGGATTGGACAGGCTGGGGCCGCGAGCGGCCCAGGCTGGCGTCCGCCGCTCGGCCTCGGGCGGCGGTGCGGGAGGATCCTCCCCAGGACGCCCTCTCGACGAGGCGCGGCTGCTGGAGACCATCCCGGGTCCTGAGAGTTCCGCAGGAAACAATCGAATCGGGGGTGGACAAACCTCCCTTTAATAAACCTCCCTTGAGTGAGAACGGCCTGGGACTGAAACCGACGGACCTGGACCCGCCAAAATGACGGCCGCGACGCCATCTCGCGAACGGAAGACGGCCAATTCGCTAATCGACGTGTCAGGGTAGGTCTGTCCACCCCCGATCGAAAACCTTCAGAGCCTCCGAAAACGACTGGCATCCTGCGGAACTGGCCGAAGGCCGCCGAAAGCGAGGCAGAGCCTTGAAGCAGAGCTGACGATTCCTGGGCCCGGCTCCCCAACTCCCGTGGGTGGGGGCCCGCGTTCCTCGCCTCTACCTCTCCTCCTCCGCATCCACTCTCTTGAGCCTCCTCGCTCCTCCCCATCCTCCTCCTCCTCCTCCACCTCCTCCACCTCCTTCTCCTCCTCCACCCTCTCCTCCTCCTCCTCCTCCTCCTCCTCCTCCTCCTCCTCCTCCTCCTCCTCCTCCTCCCTCCTCCTCATCATCATCATCATCATCATCATCATCATCATCATCATCATCATCATCATCATCATCACCCACCTCCTCCTCCTCCTCCTCCTCCTGCTCCTAGGGCCCAGGGAGCGCCACCGAAGGCCCCCAGGAGATCCACCGAAGGCTCCTGAGGGAGGGCTTGCACAGTGTCACCGCACCCATGAGGGCACACCCCTCACACGCTCCGTGGCCCCATATGTGGCTGGGTCCTTCGCCCCGACGACCCAGCCCCTCTGCTCCGCCAGGACCCCCCCGAGCGTCGGAGGCGCCCGGCGGCGCTCCAGCACCGTCGGCGGCGCCTCCCCGCGGCGGGCCAGCTCCGCGCCCCGCTGCGCCTCGCGCGCCCAGCGCCTCCACAGCGCCTCGGCCGCGGCGGCGCCCATCGCGGGGCGGCGTCGTTGCCGGCGGTGGCGTCGTCGGCGGCGGCGTCGTCGTCGGCGGTGGCGGCGTGGTCGGCGTCGGCGTCGGCGTCAGCGTCGGCGTCTGCGCCGGCGTCGTCGTCGGCGCCGGCGTCGTCGGCGTCGACGTCGTCGTGGTCAGGTCGCCTCGGCCGCAACGGGGCCAATCGTGGGGCGCCGCCGTCGGCGTCGAGGCCTCGGCACGCGCACGGCCTCGGCCTGGGCGGTTCGGGCGCTGGCGGGAATCCACTTCGGGGCTACGCGCAAGCGCCGATGCGTGGCGACTACCCGCGCTTTGCTCGGCAGCCACAGCAGCAGCGCCATGGAGCTGCACAGGCGCAGCGACGGCGCAGAACGCGTCGATAGCCGTGGCTGCGGTCTCCAGAGCGCAGCCCTACACGCAACAGGACCTGCCGCAACTCCGCCCTGGGCTGCGCGGGCTGATGGTATGCGCACAAATCCTGTACGCGCAGAACGCTGCGCCCATTCGCAGACCGACCCCCAGCGTCGGAGACGCGCGGCGGCGCTCCAGGACCGCCGCCGACGCCTCGCGCCGCGGCGGGCCGCCTCTGCGCCCCGCTAGTTCTCGCTCGCCCAGCGCTACCACAGCGACTCAGCCTCGGCGGGGCCCATCGCGGGGCGCCGTCGGCGTCGTTGGCGTCGTCGTCGTCGGCGTTGTCGTCGTCGGCGGCGGCGCCGTCGTCGGCGGCAGCGGCGTCGTCGTCGGCGGCGGCGGCGTCGGTGTCGGAGGCGGCAACGGTGTCGTCGGCGGCAGCGGCGTCGGCGGCGGCGGCGGCGTCGGCGTCGGCGTGGTCGGCGCCGTCGTCGTCGTGGTCGTGATCTTGTCGCCTCGGTCGCGGCGAGGCCCATCGTTGGACGCCGCCGTCGGCGTCGAGGCTTCGAGGGCTCTAGACCTCCAGCCACTTACAGGCCTCACAACTGGGACACGACTGGACGGGCCACTGGGTGGGGACGGTGGACGGCGCCGCACCGTCGCCGGCACCGTCAGACAACGATCTAGACAAAAATCCATCCCTGGGGAAGGCTCAGGACTTCCGCATTGATAAGCTCAAGACATCGAATGTCTGGGAAGGAGTATCCATCCATCAATCCTCCATCCACGCGAGACCCCGCTGTCGACGAGCGGAGAAAATGCGAACCGCGCCCAAGCGTGAGCTTCACTCTCTCGGGAACACTGCGCGCGGCGCTGGGGCGAGAACGACATGTCGCCCTCTCCTGGCCGAGGTGCGCCCCGTCCGATTCCGGCCACGCATGTCGCAGCGTCGACGCCTAAGCGTCAACGTTGCGAGGAAAACCATAAGTCAACCCTGCGTTTTATACCGTTCCGAGAACGGCAGGATGGAAGGTTCTGGATGGGGGGGCTTATCGGCCGTCCAGGTGACAGAGCGAGATCACACATCCGCAAAGCAAGGGGAGAGAGAGAGAGAGAGAGAAAGGGAGGAGGAAGAAGGAAGCCTGGGGAAAAAGGGGGTAATAGGGAAGATGGGGGAAAGGGAGAAGGGAGAGATGGGGGAGAGGGAGTGGGGGAGAGGAAGAAAGGGAGCAGGGAAGACGGAGGAGGGAAAAAGGAGAGACGCGGAGAGAGAAGGGGAGCGCGGGGCGGGAGCGGGAGCGGGAAGCGTGGGGAGCTGGGGGAGAGCGGCAGACGGGTGGGGCGGAAGCGGAGGGAGAAGAGCGAGAGACCGAGACCCCCGACGCCGGGCTGTTGTTTCGCCACGTGCCTCCAGAAATCTGTCGGGCGGGTGGTGATGGAGGGTGACCCAAGTGGGGGGGGTGAAGAGAAAGAGCCTGAAGGTGCCCTTCAGGGCTCCTTTCGGAGCCAGCAGGGGCCCAAAAGGAGCCCTGAAGGGCCCCTCTAGGATCTTTCTCTGCACCCAAGCATTCAGGTCACCCCCCCCATTACCCCCCGCCCGAATCTGGATCCCTCCCCCGGGACTGGCTTCCCATCCGGGTCGTCTTTGACGGCGCGCTGGGGCCCCGCGAGGGCCCCGAGAAGAAAACGGGCAAAACAACATCCCGAGGCTATTTTTGCTCCGACTCGAGGGGGTCGGGCCTCCCGCGGCCCGTCGGAACGACCCGGGCACCCCCGGAACGCAGCCCCGGGCGAGGAAGCCTCCAGCAACCGAAAACTTTCGAGGACCACACCGCCTGAGGAGGAACATACAAAAACACAGATAACGCGACTCCCCGGGCCTCTCCCGGGCTGCATTCTGACCAGATAGATTCTCAACGAGAATCCAGCCGTGGCGACGAGAGCATTCCAGGACGAGCAGCGGCATCGGCACCTTTCCCTCATCTGAGCCTTGCCGCTCATCGAGCTGCCTGCATCGTTCATCGGCGAGGGTCGGGTTGGGATCTCGCCGCCGGAAGAGGCTGGGCAGCGGAGGGGGCGGGCCTCGCCGATGTCCGCGACGGCGGGGCCCGCGGCGTCGAGGAGGCGCGCATGCGACCGCAGCGCCTGCGCACGCCGCGTGCTGTGAGCAGAGGATGCTGTGGGGCCATCGGCGTGCTGTCCGTGCCCCTGCGCACGCTCCGACCCAACGAGGGGCCCCAGCGGCGGCACGAATCAAACTCGGGCCCCCGGAGCCACGTTTCTGACCCGTGCCCTGATGCCTCCTGGCGCCTACAACAGGTCTGCAGCATCAGGGGTACGCACCGGACGCCGATGACCGAGGCATGACTACTCCGGACTTCATTCTCAGAGGGGGATCGGGCGAGCGATATGTTGGACGCCCCCATCATCCAGACCCGAGACCAGCCGTGGAAGAGCGGCCTCTAGCTCGGACCCCGGGAGCCCTGGGGTGCGTTCTGACAAGAAATTCGAGGCGAATCCGGCGGTGGCGACGAGGGCACCCCAGGAAGCCGAAAACGGGAGGACATGGGAGGAGTAGCGGTATTGGGTACCCTTTCCTCCTCTGAACTCAACTCGGACCCTTTCCACAATGAGGCCACACCCCTTTGATGGTGAGATCCGCAGCATCCGCCACCGCGCCCTGGGGCGCCAGTTGGAGCGCCCACGGGACGCAGAGAGGCAGACCACAAGTCTGACTGAAGCTAGCGAAGCAGAGCTGAAGTCGCGCTGCGGGGAGCCTGCCCCCGCCCGCAAAAGCCGAAGCCAGCGATTCGAAGTGCGCGGGCGGGGGAGCATCCAGCCCAGAGCAGAGCGCGACGGTCTGCTCCGACGGGGCCGCTCAAAAGAGAGTACCCAAAAGCACACCTCGTCTGCGCAAAGGCCGCCCAGACATTGCACATCGTCGAGACCACCCTGCGGCGTCGCACGAATTGCGACTGGACTTGTAACAGAACGCGCCCCCCCTGGAAGCGAGCGTCTGCTTGGGCCTCGACGTCCCTGGCCCGAGAGCCGTTGAGGCTCGTGGCGGCCCAGCCATCGACACAGCTCCGGTGGAAGAAGTGGCCGCACTGCAAGATGCCAATCAGGCCGAGGTTGAGGTACTCGTCCAGGCAGATGCCACATGGCGTCGCCCTCCACTTTCCAACGAATCGTTTGTGCTTCGGCTCGTAGGTCCTCGGGTGATCGGTGATCTGGACGGTGATCGGTGAGGCTGCCAACCAAAAGCCACGGGCTGACTCGGGCATCTGCCAGGAGCCCTCAGAAGCGGGCTGCGCTGGAGATGGGCTGAGCCCTGGCTGCGGCGGTGAAGGAGATTCGGCAACCATGGAGGCGACCCCGGATATGCCAGATAGGTCCAGCATCCAGGGCGCCGCCGTACCACCGAAACGCGGGCCACCTCCCAGGGCGCATGAACTCCCAGAGCCGGCCTGCGGGCACTCAGCTCTGCAGCGGGACTCCGAACCGCAGATGCTGCGCTGAATTGCGTGCCCGCCGTAGCCTCGAGGGTTTTCTCGAGGCCAACGCCTTTGCCGATAGACTGCTTTCCTTCGCCTTTGTCGTTGCCTCTGTTGAAGACGGCGTCGACTTGGTCGTCCGTCAGCTCAACCAGGACGCTGAACTTCCGAGCTCCATTGAAACTGTGCGGCATCAACTGCCAGAACAACTGGGCGTCGACTCGGGCCAGGGGTACCCCTTTGAACTGCACTTACGCATGATCGATAGCTCTTCCAAGGTCTGAGTTGGCGTTGGATCTGGCGCCACTTGGATTGGATGCCCATGGCAGGCCTGAATCTACCAGCGGGCTGCCACGCGGATGCAACAAACGCTAACTGCGGCGGGACGGCACTCGGCTTAGAGCTGCCGGCGCGAGGGAGGGAACCTCCAGCACGTGAGAGTTCGTCGGCACTCGCAGCCCAAGCGTCGAGCCCTGGCTCGTGCAAAGGGTCCGCTGGGAGCTGGTGCCACTACTCATGCCTATGAAGCCTCCGAAAGATAGAGGCGAACGAAAGGCGCTGGCGATGCTGTTGGGCGCGTGATCCACGATATGGCCAACGCGCCTCAGCGTCGTCGTGAAACTGTTGAATTCAGGCTCTGTTGCGGGATACAAGTTGTCGCAAGGCTGGGACAGCGTCCACCGCCGAACGCTAGGAGGAGCAGCCCGTTATAGCCTTCCCATGACATCGCAGCTACACCGCTGTGCATCGCTCGGAATCGCAGTGTGAGGATACGCGAGAGCAATGCGTGGGTGGTCTCGTTGCGTCCCCTCCATAACTCGAACTCCCGTGCAGCTTGCAGGCGTGACTCTTCACCGAGTGGTCCGGACTGGGTCGCAATATTTGCGATGAGATCGGCGACGGCATCTTCAGGTTGACAATGACCAAACCGACCTCCTTCGGACAATGACCAAACCTACCTCCTTCGGTCGGTTGCGCTGTCATTTCTGTAGCGAGTACGCTCCACGCGAGAAGGTCCTGCACCCAGTGGCGGACAGGATAGACAAACTCCCGAACAGGCGACTAAGCAGGTGGCTGACGCATGTTGCCTCGTCTGCCACCGCCTCCACCCGGCTGTCCATGTACTCCAGGCATTATGCAGACGAGCCAGTACAAGGCGATCAACTAGAATTACGGGGGTTGGTGGAAACGAAACGGTTGACATGGCTGCAGGAGCTGGGATAGCAAAGTTCTGTCCCTTCTCAGAGATCTGCGTTTGCACGCTCTGGCGCTGAGCCAGGGGGCGACACGACATGCCATTTGACTCAGAGGGGATGAGGACGAGGACGAGGATGAGGACGAGGATGAGGAGGATGAGGACAAGGAGGAGAGAGGAGGCGGAGGCGGAGGAGGAGATGCGAGAGGAGGCGGCGCCTGCAAGCCCTGCCGCCGCTCGCCCGTGGCGCAGAGCGCCAGCAGTAGGGCCGCCAGCGCGGCGGCAGCCGGGGGCCTCCGACGGGACGTCGCGCGGCTCGGGCACGGACACTAGGGATTCAGGCCTTTCCGCGCCTGCTCCTGCTCCTCCTCCACAAGTTTCTCCTCCTGCTCCTCTTCCTCCTCCTCCTCCTGCTTCTCCTCCTCTGCCAACTGTCCCTCCTGCCCCTCCTGCGCCTCCTCCTCCTCCTCCTCTTCCTCCTCCTTCTCCTCCTCCTCCTGCTCTGGCTCCTCCTGTGACTCCTCCTCCTGTTATTACTCCTCCTCCTCCGCCTCTTCCTCCTGTTTCCTCCTCCTCCTCCTCCTCCTCCCCCTCCTTCTACTCCTCCTACTCCTTCTGCTCCTCTAGCAAAATGCCTAGTAGGTATATCCTCCAAGGGGAGATTATTGTTGATAGGCATGTTCTTTGATGTCCCTTCAAGATACCCAAGTACGGGCTCCAGATCGAACCTCCTAGATCCTGGGGAGGTAGTCATTCTAGCCATGGCTAACAAATACCTCCCTCACGTAACCGGCACACATCAAAAACGCATGTGTAGACTGGACGAGGGGAGGAAGCCGGCCGCGCGCGCGCACCATTTCAACCTGTACGTACATGGCTGCGTACAACAGCACGTCTAGGATCACCAACCATGCGAAAGGCACGGCTGGTGAACGCAATGAAAAGTGGCGAGGAGAGCGTTGGTACTAACTCTTTCCCTCCAGGAGAGAGGAGGAGGAGGAGGAGGAGGAGGAGGAGGAGGAGGAGGAGGAGGAGCGACCAGGGCAGTGGTTCGGGTGTCAGCAAGCGCGCGCGCCATGCGCATCCGAGAGTGACAACTGCCAGAGACCACGAACGTTGCTGGCACTGTGCAAGGCGAGACGGTGGGGCGCCTGTGGGAGCCTTGCTGGACCACAGAAGCCTGAGGCCCCTCATCGGCCCCAGGCTGATCTCATCCTCCGATGCATGTGTCCAGAAAGGGTGGGTAAGCACTGTGGCTCACGCCCCACTGCCTTGATAAACTCACAGAAGGAAGAAAAGGAGGAAGACGACAGGGAAGGCACCGAGTCGTGCGTTGTCGGCGCCAGGACAGCTAAACATTAGCGTGCGCATCACGCGCTAACGGTACCGCGTGACATTCTGATATGCGTGCAGCGTGCGCATGATTTGGAGCTGAAGTATCGAAAAGGGAGTGGAGGAGAAAGTGAGAGAAGGGGCGATTGGGTTACTGGTTCCCCCCCCCGCCCCAGGCGGGCGCCCACCTCGGGAGGGAAATAGCTGCCTAGAACGCCAGTCTAGTGAAGCTGGCTTAACTTCGCCACGCTCTCCTCCATGGCTGTGCTTCACCGCATTCACTTCTGTACGGGTACAATAAAGAATCTGAGCAAAAAAGCGAGCAGCATGAGCCTGGCCCAGTACCTCGTACACTGCCTCTCCTTACCATGGGTGTTCGGTCTGGGGAGTGTGGTAGGAGCTCACGGTCCGCTGTGTACCATTGCAGCTCCTGGAGAAGCCAGAGAAAAGCAGGAGGATGTGGAGGAGGGGAAAGAAAACCAGGAGGAGAAAGAGAAGGAGAGAGGGAGGAGGCGGAGGGAGGAGCCGACACAGACACCCGGAAAACCCCCTACTTGCGGCGGCGGCGAGAGGAAACGACAGGGGTGGGGGGGGGCAGCTCAAGGGGGGAACACATCGACGTGGGATCGGCGATACATCGCCGATAGGTCGGCGATAGGCGCCAGGTTGCGACGCCGTAAGTTTCTTGGCGAGCTCAGCTGTCGGGCCCCTATCGCCGATCAGTGGGCACTTGGGAGTCGATACATTCCCTCACCCCGAGCGCATCCCAACATAACGCTGCCCCTGGCTTAGGGACTATAGCTCGACTCCCTGGCCATCGCTCGGGCATGGGCAACCCAGGAACGCCCCTGGAGAGGCGCAGCTGCTGGAATGCACCCCGAGGCTGTAAAACCGCTTGGAACCTACGGAAATGTTATAAAACCTCGAACCTCGAAAGTCGATCCCCCCAGAAGTCCCGACCCTGTCCCCCATGTCTGCTCTTCATCCCGAGTCGACTTCTTGTCGGTGCGAGAAGCCAAAAATGGCGAAGACCTTTCGTCTTGTGCGTTGTTTGTCCAATGCTCTGGCTCGACAAACATCTCCGCATCGAACCAAAATGACGACGATAGCCGAAAACCTAGGAACTTGAATCTCGATCCCCCCTGGCGCTTGTAAGTCCCAGGGGGGTCTGCATCTGCCGCACACAAGGGTGCCCGGGCAGTCTTGGTGAGGCAACTGGAAGGCGTACATCTAATCCATGTTGGCGGCGCGCTTGCTTCGGCAAGCAGCTTACCGCGAGGTCAGGAGTTGTTTGGGCAGCGCTTTCCCCATCTCAACGCGTTAACCTCCTCAACTGACAGATGATTATTATGCTGGTCTGGCGAAGCACTTGGCTTGCAACCTGACATAAGGTGGGACTGGCACAGGGGAGGGTCATCGACCTGTAATCGGCGATACATCGCCAAAAGATCGGCGATACGGCCCCGATAATGAATCCACACGTTCCTGGGCGGGGTGGGGGCATCAGGCCCTTATCGCCGATCAGTGGGCGATTGGGGGTCGGTGCATCACCCCTCTATGCATATCCCCCCTATCGTTTCTCCTGGACATAGGATACGCGAGCGTCCCAGACACCCCGCGGTGCTCACAACCTGGCTAGGGAGCCCACAGAGGACGTACGCGCCCAGCCAAATACATGAACACAACCCCCCTGTCCGCGCGACTACAGCCGGACCTTGGACAGAAGAGCGCCCTCCCAGAACATGAGACCCTCCGATGGCCAAAAGCACACACAGAACATCCAAGGGCACCCTTCCCGGGATGCACAAGAACATCCAACAAACCCGAAAAAAACATCCAGGCACTCTCCCCGAACCGACCCAGATCTTATTGAGGGACAACGATAGGGGTGGACTGGCATAGGTGAGGATGCATCAACCTGGAATCGGCGATAAATCGCCGACAATTTGGCGATAGGCCTGCGATCGCGAACCCGCACCTTCCAGGGCAGGTTGGGGCGATGGGGCTCCTATCGGCGATCAATGGGCGATTCGGGGTCGGTGCATCCCCGCTCTGTGCCTATCTCCCCCTATCGTTGCCCCTGACTTATACCTCGGCCCGACTGTAGCCTCGCGATGCGAGCGTTCGCGCAGTGCGCTCTCTCGGAGCCAACACGGACTCATGCAACTGCGTGCACGCCCCTCTCTCGCTGCTGCCTGCCGACCTCCGGGGCGCGCAGGTGGCGCAGAGGGAGGATGGGGGAGGAGGAGGAAGAGGCTCGAAGTGGGAGGCAGGGAGTAGGAGGGGAGGGAGATGGGGAGGCGGAGGAGGAGGAGGAGGAGGAGGAGGAGGATGAGGAGGAGGAGGATAAAAAGAAGGAGAAGAGCAGGAGGGAGAGAAGGAGGAAGATGAAGAAGGGGCAGGGGGAGGAGAAGCGAGGAGGAGGGAGGGAGGAGAAGGAGGAGGAGGAGGAGGAGGAGAAGGGTGGTGGAGGAGGAGGAGGAGAAGGGTGGTGGAGGAGGAGGAGGAGGAGGAGAAGGAGGAGGCAGGGAGAGGAGGAGGAAGAGGCGGGGAGAAGGAAGGAGGAGGATGCGCTCGCATCAGCGCGGGCGTTCGGCCGCGCTGGCGCCCGAGCGCGCCCCACGCGCTCGGGCCCGGGTCAGGATGACCCGCTGCGACCTCGCCGAAGTGCACCGCGACGAAGTCAGGGGCGCACGCGGTGATGTGGGGCCTCCTCCCCCCGCGCGCGCCTCAGGGCAGCGGCCCGTCCAGGCCGCCGCCGCCGCGCTCCGCGCCGTCGTCCACGACGCTGTGGTCGTCGAGCTGCACGAACTTGACGGCCACACGGCCTGCGGCGCCTGGCGCGAAGCCCTTGGCGAGCCGAGCAATCGCCAGCTTGCCCTTTGCTCCGGGCTCCCCGCAGGCACGGGCGAAGGACGAGCTCCTCGCCGCACCTGTGGCTCCGCAGACGAGGCAGGCCAGCAGCGGCATCTCACGTTGCAGCTGGGCCTCGACCTGCGGCTCGATCTTCACAATCACGTGCGCCAGCGCGCCCTGGGCCCTCAGCTTCCTATTGTTGTCCAGGGCGGACGTCACAATCGAGCCTGGGCACTCGCTGGCGCGCTCCAGCCAGCGGCACCTGCTGCACCATCTCGCCCCAGGCGGCCCACGGAGTTCGCAGCCTAGCCTGGCAGTCGCTGGCTGCAACGCTGCTCGCGGGGCCGCCTTGTTGGGCTTCGCCGCGCGGTGGGTGGTGTCGTCCCCGCCCACAGCTGCCCCAACAGCTGAGACCCACATGGCCACGCCCTCGACCAGCTCCCGTGCCGACTGCAGGCGTTGTCGGTCCTCGGGCGCAATCCTCGCGCGCTCGGCCGCGCACTTCGCGGCCTGGTCAGCGATGCAGTTGCCGATCCAGTCGCGAGCGGTGATGACGCCGTCGTCGGTCACTCGGCGTCGCGGGACATGCGCAGGGACCTTCTTGAGGGTCAGGCCATGCGGCCCTATCCCCCCGAAGTCCTCGACAAGCCGCCAGAGCTCGCGCCAGAGGCGGGCCCAAGCGTAGCCCCAGCGCGTCGTGAGCAGCGGCCCGTGCTCCAGCACACCCTCGAACACGAAGTCGGAGTCGACGATGGCCCTGACGGGCGGCGCGGCATGGCGCAGCGTGCCGATGAGCGCGGCCAGCTCGCCGCCGTTGATGCCGGCGAAGGGCTCGCACAGCGTGCCCGAGATGCCAGCGCGGAAGGCGCCCGCGTCCTCCTGCAGCACCACCGCAGCCCAGCCGACGCTTGTGCACTGCTGGAAGTCGCCCTCGTAGGCGGAGCCGTCCAGGTACACGTCGCCCGACGGCAGCATTCCGCCTACGTCTTGGCCCAGCCAGCTGAGCCCAGGAGGCCGAGGCGGCTTGATGATGCCGCGGGGCGCAGGCCACAGCACGCGCTCCAGCAGGCACCCCACCTCCACGAGCTCAGCCTTGCCCGCCATCT